TACTACTATTATTAAGCTGAATGTCAAGCTTCAAAGAAACTTCATGATGCTTCGGCTGTGAGCTGGGGGAATCAAGGTCATTCAGATTGTTTCCTAAGTAAAGAAAGATTTCTCTCACAACAATTGTCTGATGCTTAATTGGGGAACGTGGCCTGCACTACCAGGAGGGAGTTTCTATACTTTCCATTTATTGTTCTGGCCCCAATTTCACCAGAGCTGGTTTTCTATTCATCGGGGCTGATATGCTGTGCTCAATAAAGCTTTGCATTAGAGATTGGAATGTCTCAGTTGTGCTTACTTTGTTAGGTGATCAGTCGGAAACCTGGCCCTGAGATCAGAACTGAAGCCTCCATGGATTTCTCCTTAGTTCTGGGTTGAATCTCTCTTTAATAATCTTCCACCTGTTACTTCTTGCCCTGCCCTAGGGTGCTTTGGAGAATAAGCGGACCCCCTCTTCTCTGTAAGAGCCCCTCAAGTACCGGTAGGCTACCAGTCCTCCTCTTGGTTAGATAGGCTGACTTGGATTAGGATTCCTTTGAAAAGGAGGCATTGGGGAGAAAAGGGTTGAACCTCCACTAAGATGCCAGCTGCACTTATGGCATTGCTTCTCCTGGAGAAGGAAGAATAGAAATTCCTTTTGCTGAGAGGGCCGAGGATCCCTGACTGTGGGGATCTGGCATCGTATCGCTGGCCCTTGGCATGGAAAGAGTTGGCTCCTCTGCAGAGCAGGAGTCAGAAAACTGGGCCTCCCTCCTTTGAAGGGTGCCAGCCTACTCTGGAAGAGGACCCAACAAGGCAGCCCAAGATGTAAGGCTACCTGGCAGGTGAAATGGAGCAAGAGGCAGCCATGGTTTCAGCTAACGCACCTCTACAGCCAGCCCTCTTCCGCATTCCACGGCAGCCTCTGCCCCTATTTCTGTGCCCCACCTCACTGCTTTCCTTTCAAGACTCTCAGCTGCTGGCAAGAGAGGGGTGAAGCTTCTGTTGCCCCCCCCACCCCCCCCAGGCTGGGCTGGTTTGGGGAATCAAGAAACGTGGGGCTGGGTTTTGGACCCACAGGCAGAAGAAGCATTCATGTCACGGGGGTTAGGTGGAAACAGTAAACTTGGTTTATTGAAAAATATCGATTACATTTATTCCTTTATTACACAGGTTCAATTTTTTTTCTTAAAAATACCTCTCATGGGCATTGATAACGTTGGAATTTGGAAACCTGTACAAATAGGGTCACCTGATCATACGCGAGTGTGTGTGTGTGTGTGTGTGTGTGTGTGTACACATGTACATACATGCAGAGATTCATACCCACACATCCTCACTTCAAAGGGGGAGGGGGCTCTATGTATTTAAATCTTTGTCTTCATACTTTTTTTTATCAACATTTGTTCAAGTCATGATATATATTAGGGGATAAAATTACACAGAAAGATATGTCTGCAAATACAAGCAAATTTTATTGCAATATACGGTAACTAAGTGTTCCGGGAGGGGAGGAAAAATGGAACAGGAATGAAAGACGCAACAGTACAGTTTTACAACACTCTGTAGGATTTTGATAGAAGCACCAAAAAGGAAGGAAGGAAGGAAGGAAGGAAGGAAGGAAGGAAGGAAGGAAGGAAGGAAGGAAGGAAGGAAGGAAGGGAGATGGAATAATCAGATCAGAATCACATGACCTAAGAGAGAGAGAGAGAGAGAGAGAGAGTCTTCTCCACCCTCCACGCGGTGATTCCCCCCAAATTCCCCAGAGAAGGGAAAGAGCACCAATGACATTGTTGTGCCTAAGTTGCCACTTGGGGAAGGGGATGCAGGGCAGCTTCTGAACTGCTGGCTTTCGGGGAATCTGTTCCAGAGGGATGCTCCAGCTTAGGATCTACACCTCATCGATCCCCGAGGAGCCGGTGGGCCTCGGGAGGCTGGTCCCCCGGAATCTGTCAGGAGAGGGACAGAGCATTGCTGCCTGCCAGTGAAGAGTGGGAGCGGGCTGCAGGGAAGGCCTCGCACCCGCTTCAAGAGACAAAGGCCAAGACTGGCCAAACAGGGCTATTCAGAGGGCAAAGTGGGCCGTGGCTGTTTTCAATCCTGGCCCCCAGGCGATATTCGGACAGCCCCTCTCGGAAGCGCCTGCTCCTTCGGTGGGAAAGGAAGGCAGGAGAGGGGCCGGGGTCCCCAGTAAGGGCAGAAGGAAAGTCAGCCAGTCCAGCAGGGGAATCTACAGAGGCAAAGGCTGGCTAGTTACCCTCCCACCTGGAGCTTCCCTGGGTCAGGAAGGCTGTGGGAAGAGGCATCACAGCGATGCCCTTCCTTTTGGCCCCGAGGCCGAGGCCCGGGTGTGGGGTGCTTTTTCCCTCTCTACTCACACGGGAGCAGTGAGCGAGAGGGGTGGAGGGTGGGTGGTTGCTGCAAGCTCCCCACTGGAGAAAGACACACACAATTGCACTGTTCAGTTTTGCTCTAGAAAGACAGAGGAGGGGAGTTGTGTAGAGACAGGTCAAGTCTGGCCTTGACTTCAGTACATTGAATAAAGTCATAAATTAGCACCACAAATATTCAGCAACTGAGTACAAATCTGGCATGTTTACCCTGGTAGGCATTGCACCAATAGCCTATTGCTACCAAAGAAAAACCCAGATCCTCAGCCCAGCTGTAAAAACTCGGTCATCAGACACACCATTGAGTCCAGGCTGAGTCCAGGCTGATGGGTCACAAGGTCACGAGGGAGGGGCGGGGGGGACAGGCGATGTATTACTGGGCTGAAATGAGGGGAAAGCTGGGAGAGACCCCCGGCAGGGCTCAGCCAGGGTGGTCTGGAAGGTTCCTCCAACAGCTCTAGCACCAACAAAATGGAATGAAGATAAGAAAACATTGAGGGGGGGGAAAAAAGATTTTCTTGGTAAAAGATATTTTTTAAAAAATCTCTCCATTGAACCACAGTAGATAAGTCTGGAGAATGGGAGGGGGGGGAGCTGGCCATAAATCTTTATTGCTTGTCAGAGATGACAAATTTCAACACTGCTGGTGCACTTGGCGCAAAGATGCACCGAGCTGGCAGCCGTTTTCCTTTGTCTGGAGACACGCCTGCCTGCCTCAGTTCCCCCAAAGTTCAGCAACGCTTAATTTTAATCCCATTTCCTTGGGTGCCTGTAAGGCTGAGGCGTACCGCTCCTAAGGCTGAGAGGGCTGGGGAGGGGGCTGAGGGAACCTGCTTCCTGAGTCTGGGGGGAGCACACGGTTCCCTGCGGATTCCTACTGTGGTCTTAGGGAAGGCGTCGGACGCTGGGGCCAAGGAGGCTGCCCGTTATCAGTGCAGCATGGGGGGGACTCACATGCATGTTTTGAACCCAGAAACATTTAATATTTAATATAATAATATACAAATATTTACTTACAAAATACAAAAATAGAAGCACCTTTATCATATGGGATAAGCAGTCAGAACCTGGCATTTTTAAAGGTTGTCGGTTTCTGATGTTTCTTGTGTGAACTAAGCGGAACAAAACCAGAGAAAACGTCTCTGGGGCGGGCTGAGATCCGTCTAGGTTCTGAGAGAAACCCCAGCAGAGAAGAGAATCCAAACCGGGAGGGGTTTTCAGAGTTCTTCGTCCATGTATCTGTACAGAGATCAGGCACTGGCTGAATCGCCTGGCTGAGGGCTCTCGATGGCCTTTTAGGGGCTTCCCAGTGACGGGAAACTGGCGGTCACTGGGCAGTTTCCCATCAGATGCAGAGAAGCTGCTGACAGGAAGGCATCTTCCCCGGCGGGATGTCCTGATTTCAAGGAAGAGGCAGGCGTTCAAGCGCGAGAGCGGAGGGGCCCTTGGGCGGCCTCCAAGAAGGGCGCAGCACAGAAGGAAAAGCTCGCTTCGGCCAACGGGGAGGCTCTAGGTCATGTGATTCTGGAGTCGGTGGTGAGCGGGGTCCGGTTTTTGACTGGGGTTGGGGGTCTTGTGGCAAAATTGACGTTGGGGTAAATAGGAGAACAAGTAAAAAGACAAACCCATCAAACTGTCCAGTTTCAGAACGTGCACGTGATGACAAAAAAAAAAAATACGTAGCCAAAAAATAGAAGGCGCGATGAGGTTACGAAGTTGCTCTTTTGGAGAGTCTTCTGAGCGGCCCTCAGCCCATGAAGCACGCCGGTCCCACCTCGAACCCAAACTTCTGAGATGCTTCGCCAAAGTCATTGAACATGATGTCGACAATGGGGACCTGCTCAACTTTGGGGGTGCTGATTTCCAAGACCGTCTTCTGGTAACCCTTCTTTGCCTGCAGAGGAAGAAGGCAGGAGAAGAGGCGGTTCAGGTGCCCGGAGCAGCAGGCTCCTTTTATTTATCATTTTATTTACTCTCCATTACGCTTTCCCACTCCCGCTGCTGTGCTCTGTTGTTCAGCAACAGAAAATAATGCAGAGTTAGATTATTTAAAAAAAAATCCTGGCTGGGACTGAATGCGCAGCATGCTGCAAACCGTGACCCTTGCCAGTTGAACCCCTGGATGGCGAAGCCGGTCTGTTTGGGCATCTTTCAATCTATTTTTACTGCATATCAAGTTTGGCCTGCGGTAACTTAAATATTATTTTAGAATTCCCATTAAGGTTTATGTCTTTTTGTTCATGTTTTTAAAATATATACATTTTGTTCAAAATACTGCCTAATGCACACTGCTTTTGCCAGCAGTTTTCCTTGACATAAGGCATTTTTGTACAAGTGTATGAATCTATGTATGAGTTTTCCTGTAGCTGGAAGTCTCCCTCCCTCCCTCCCACTCTCTCTTCCTCCCTCCCTCGCTTTCTCCCTCCCTCGCTTTCTCCCTCCCTCCCTCTCTCCCTCTGGTCTAAGAAGACTTTGCAGGTAGTCCCCAAAAAGTGCTCCAGGGGCCTTGGGGGCTAACGGCCCCTCCCTCCATTCCTCAGCATCACAGGGGCTATCAGCTGCACCCGAAGGACCCCCTATTAAGAAGCAGAACACCCTCATCCTAGGGAAGAGTGAAAACCTAGAGGAATGTAACTGTATAAGGTGTCAGTTTGAAATGGAGGAAATGTAACAACACCTACTCGAAATTAGATAATTATAAGGATTGGCAACAAGAAAATAAGCAGCAGAAACCACAAGTAGAGTAGGGACAAAAGGACACGCAGGGCTTAAGCAGGCAGAACTCTATAGGGGCAAAATAACACTTATGCTCAAGCAAGGCATAACTCCATAGACAAGCGGACACGAAGACTAAAAGCAAGCTAGAACTCCAAAAAGGATAATAGCTTTGTGAAATTTTACTTCCCTATTTCTGAAAATCCATGGTATAAAAGGTTGTCTTTTGCTGTTGTTCAGAGACTCAGCTCCTTTAATGGCTGGAACCCTTTTGCTGAAGTGCTTACATAATTTTTTTTTGTGTGAAAGTCCGTCTCTCCTTTCTGGCTCTGATTGGCTTCTGCACCAGGCTGAGCCCTTTTTGGGACAACACACCCTTGCGCCCCCCAACCTTGGCACAGGCCAGATCTTTAAGGGGTTGCAGACAGATGCTGTTTTGGGGCTTTCATGTGCTCTGCACAGTCTTCTGGAGGCTGAAACTGACAGCCCTGCACAGACCTTATGTCTGAATGTAAACCTCCATCTTACAAACTTTTGGGAGGTGAATTCTGCATTTCCATTAAGTATTAATTTTGAAATGAAAAGTTAGGTAAGTTCACATCAGTTATGGAAATCTTCCATCTTTTTTCTCCAAACGGTAGGATGGGAGGAGACCTCAGAGGTTCTTTTCGTCCCCCCCTTCTCCCCGAGGTCAGAGTCCTCAGGCCATCCGACTGTCCTTCCAGGGCTTCCCTCAATGGAGCCCCCACGACTCCAGGAGGCAGCCGTGCCGCTGCTCAGGACCTCTCACGGTCCGGAGATCCCTCCTAATTTCAACTTTAGATCTCTCCCTGTAAAACCTCTTGGCTCTTGGGATCTACCCACCCCCTCTTCCCTGTGACTGCTTTCAAGACTCTTGTTGTGTCTCTCATTCAGTTCTTTAATAAGAGGGACACATGAAATTATCACTCTTGTATAGGATGCTGTTCAGACCAAGGAACCTGAAAACCTAAAAAACTTGGTTTGTTCTGAGATGCTGTGGTCTCTTAGCACAAGTACCCACCAGAGATTCCCACTCTCGCCCCTTTGATGGAGCCCCATCTACTTCCTCTGCCCCCAAATTAAGTGGATCATTCATTCATTCAACCACCCAAAGACTGTTCACTCTAATCTCTATTAGTGGAAGAAGAATGTAATATTCTCTGCTTAAAGTCAGACTTTTGCTGGAGAAATCCGGTACTGATTGTTGCACTTAATTAATTCTGATCAGTGACAACAATAAACATTGTTATATCACACTTAATTAAGCTCTTTTTGTTGATAGCTAATATATGCAGTAATAATTATTTTCAGACATTAGTCAAAAAAATAATTTATTGCCTCTTATCTTTTGCCTCCCCCCCTTGTCCTCCTCCTCCTCAGATAATCAAGCCCTTGAGAAGGAGGTCCCGCTATCCACATGAGCAGCCCGCGAGGGATTGCACGAGAGGTCTGTGAGCCCCCCACCCCAAGAGTCTCTCCTGTGCACCATCACTCACCGCACAGCCGTCAAGGGCCGCCCTGATGAAAGGGCTGTTGTCATACGACATCTCTTCGTCATTGGAGCCCAGGAAGCGCAGGGCCTTCTCGTAGTTGCCCGCAGTGGCATCATGCCACGCCACGGACTGGAAGCAGTTGTAGGTGACGTTTTGGTGAGCGGAGGCACTCAGGAGCCGCAGGAAAGTCATCTGAACCACTCCGATGGGGTTGCTGTCAGCGTCCACGTAGGAGAGCTAAGGGGAAGCAAGGAAGGAGACCAGGAAGAAGCAGACCTGGTAGGCTAGGCAAGCAGAAAGTTTACCCCCAAGTGCGCAACTTATCACAAAGTGCGTCACAGTATTCTTGGACCACCTTGAGGAGGATCAGAGAGAATTCTTTAGTTACATTTGAAAAAGCACACAGCCACCATTGGGATTTTTTGAGTTTCAGGGTGGGCAAATCCTATGCTAAGAAATAGGTCTCGTTTTGACAACATCCAGGATGTAGGAAATAATTGAAAACCCTACAATTGGCAGAATAATCAAGTGTGGAATTAAAAAGAGCATTACATAGACACATAAGAATTAGGACCACAGTTAGGAAAGATTCAAGATGTTAGAAAACTTGAACGTTGGGTTAACCATGGATAGAATTTTGGATTTTTCCTCCATGGATTTATCTGAAAGTCTATCCTGTGTGTTTGTGTCAAAGATTAGGTTACCCAATGCATCAGATGCTCACTTTATATCTTGTATTGCATGCCAAAGTTAAACAACTTTCAGACAAAACCCTCGTGTTCATTAGCTATTGTGTGAAAGGACTGAGTGGGCCAGAAGGGAATGGGAATTTGTTCATACATGCTCAGGATCAGTCAATTTAACACACACACATACACAGACACGATAAGAAGAAACAAAGGTTTTACCAACCAGTTATGTGGACTCCTGTCCATGTTTGTCTTGAGACAGGTCAATATGACTGACTGAGGCAAGCAGAAGCATGCTAGAGGACAGGTGAAAAGGAGCGACCAGGAACTAGAAGATGGAATGGATTGTCCTGGATCAGGACCTGTTCACAAGAGACTTACAGGTGGCAACTGACTCTTCCATAGTCATGTGTATTTACAGCAGTGAGGATGGACTGGCAGAAAGTCTCCTATGCTTAGAACCACAGAAAGATTTTTTCTCCTTCCTTCCAAGGCTGAACGGATCTCTTCTGAAAAAAGCTCTTTTTAAAAAAATGAAAGTCTTACTAAATATCACTAATATTATTGTCTCCTAAATTGTTCTGATGCAGAAAGATCTAACAGTAGCTTCTTTCCAATTAGAAGTGGAGTGGCCGTCTACCTGACACAACATTCATTCAGTTCAGAGGCCGCCCAGCACCATCAGACTCCAGGCAGAATACTTCCTTGGAAGAAATTTCAGATAAAACTCCCGAGGGGCTGCATCCCATCTTTGGTTCAGGGAGCAGCCTGGGTCTTAGCACCTTTTGATGCTCAGCTGAGGAGCCGAGCCCTGGAAGGAGGCTGTTCCAGTTGCAGCAACCGAGACGGCGCCCTACCTGGGTCTTCATCAAAGGGGTCTGGATTACATCTCCCCCGCCTGTTCTTCCAGAAGCGCTTAGAAATTGGGGCCCCTCAGAACTAGAGCGTATCTCTCGAGCAGTGAGTGACCCCGGTGCCTGGGAGCCCAATGGCAGCAAGTGCAACTGGCAGAGCAGGGGTGGCATTTGGACAGACTGAGGCATTTCTACCCACTGAATACTGGCCCAGCTGCACCTCTGATCATCTTTGAGCAGAGGCCCCACGGAGAACTCATGGGTGAAACTCCAGGTAAACTTTTAGTACATCCTCTGCTAAAACGCCCTTTGAATTTGGAAGGAGATTAAGAGATCACCTAATATCCTACTACATATTTTTACTTCAAGGAATATTATGTGTGTGTGTGTGTGTGTGTGTGTGTAGGATTCAACTACTTCTAGAAATTACATATGCAAATTAAACTGATGTTTATCAACAATGTTTACTTAACCAGTCAATTAAATTGATTGACATTTTTTAACTGAAAAGCTAGTAGCCTTCTCTCTCGCTCCCTGCCATGCACCCCACTTACAGATCTGGAAATCTTTTTTTTTGGGAGGTGGTGCCTAATTTGCATTTATTATGGAAATAATTAATATTTCATACTGGAGCTTCATACTGGAGGTGTTTGATTAATTAAAACTTAATCCCACCTCCCCTCCCTGCGTGTCCAGCTCCCTCCCTTGCCATCTGCTGTTAATGACTTTATTTGTTAATTATTTTATCAGCTGCGTTTCTATGAGTGATGATTTTAACGCTTTTAATGCTTTAATGCTTTTATGTTACAAGCTACTCAGAATCGTACGAGATGGGCAGCAAATAGATTTCATAAATAAATAAATGTTTAGAATTTTAAAAATGCTAATTGGAACCATGAAGGTTAAACCATCCTATTAATCAATCATATATTATTCAATGTGTGAACAAGGGAATAAATCTTACCTCCAAAAAACTGTTAGTTGGCAAGTTAGTTAGTTTCAAGCCAAGCCAACAGACCAACAGGTCCTCCAAAGGCTCAGGATGAAGAGCTTATGATGGAAACAATCTGGTAGGAGCTCAAAAAGGCACCGAAGCCCTTGAGATACCAAAAGGAGCATCTCCAGGCCTTCTGAGTGAGGGGAAAATAGCACGAGAGACGAAACCCCAAACCCACCATCTGGGTCCTAAGATCCAGGAGCTACAAATGGCCCTCAAAGGCCCTGGGACTACATTGATAGCTGCTCCCCAAATCAAAATGCAGTAATACCTAAATGGGTAAGCTAAATGGGTAATCACAACTATATAGACCAAAGTGAATATTAGGGTTATTCTTCAATTTCTGTCATCTAGTGCATCAGAGGAATTTGGTAAGAGTTTTCTTAGGAACGGTGAAATTTCTCAAATAGATCTGGAACCCCCCACTGCATGAGCAAATGGGGCATGGTTGCCTTTGCAAGTCTTCTAGATCCTGATGGCTCATTTCCAGTTCAAGAAACAATCCTGATGACCAGCAAGATAATGAGAGCAAGAAAACAAGAGGGAAGGCAAAATTTGAGGCGATGAGCAAAAACCAGCTGTTGAAAACAAAGTCCTTCCCTTCCCCAACAACAAAATGATTTGGGCAAGACTGGTGGGAGGACCTGGCCTCTCCAGTTAGTACAGTGTGGTGAGTCTGGGAACATGCATGGGCTCCCTTGGGCAGGGAAGAAGCTCTGGACACACACAAACACACGTGACTGCAGCCTTTTCTGTGAGGTGGCAGTGCCGCCTAGCTGGAAAAGCTTTTGCGCATCTCATTCAGAAGCACTCCATGCACAGTAATGTTGACTGCAGACAGACGAGTAAGATGTATTTTTTTTAGAAATTAAAATAAAATTAAGACTGTTGGAGAAAACTGTGTAAGGGTATTTCAAGAGGTCCTAAAAAGCTGTCACTGTTGTTGTTTGGAATGAATGAATTCCCTTGCTCAAGAGGAAGCGATGGGCACACCAAAGAACATCATCAGGAAAATAATTGTGATGGAACGTCAGCATCTTCAGAGTCTTGCACTGCTCTTCTTCAGGGTGCTTCCAAACGTATGCCAACACTTCCCTCACAAAGAGAGGACTTTTTACATGCCTAACTTCCTCTAAAACTGTTTTGCCCTCCAGCCTTCCAGATTATGAAATATGGACTTGTGGAATATGGAACTCAAGTAGAAAAATTACATTTACCTTATTTTGATTTTTGCCAATAAAGCTGGGCAACTTGTGGCCAGACTTCCAGTTCTGAGACTATAGCAAACATTGCACAGAGATTGTCAAGCTGAGAAGTTCTTTTCTGAACAATGAAAGCTGAGAGAAATGAATTCTACATCTTTTATCACTTTCTTGGCTTTTCTTGATTACCGCCCCCAAAGAGACACAGCCTTGTGTTCTCCTCATTTTTCAGTTGTTCAGCAATGGCCCACCAGTCAGTGCAAGCAATTCCAGCACCTTCCCAATGTTAAGTAAGATTCCCTTGTGCTTCTGTTGCTCCAGTGAGGAGAACACCTGAGATTTGGCATCAGAATATCAGGTTTCCCAAAGGTTCCTGTGATCCTATTAACTCAGATTTGTATTTGTTTCAAAGGTGAATTGAAAACTGGGGTTGAATTCCATTAGATGCCACATGGGAATGAACTTTGGCAGAAAGAGGCAAACCAGTTGATTTCAGGTATTCTAATTTTGAAAATGTTTCCATTCCATTTTCTCAACTTTGGGAATCTTCCAAACTTTCCAGTTCAGTAATGTTTTTAGTTTATTTTGGAGCATATTTCTCCAAACACAAATATTTTTATATGAAATTCTTAGAATTTACATAGTTTCTGCAAAGTACCGTAGTTCATTAATATAATACCATTTATGCATATATCATTTCCATGAATATTCACATACTGTACTTAATTTTTTTTTATACTGTATGTTGTGAATTCTGCCAGTTGTCTGGAATCAAGTTCTGATTCAAGCCCTTTCCTTTCCTGTCCTGTCCTGTCCTGTCCTGTCCTGTCCTGTCCTGTCCTGTCCTGTCCTGAATTGCCTGGCTGAGGGCTTTCGATGGCCTTTTAGGGACTTTCCAGTGATGGGAAACTGGCGATCACTGGGCAAGAATCTCCTGATCGGGTCAAAGGAGCAGCTAACCTCAGGAAGGCCAAAGAGCTGTCGATTATGGTGAGGGCCCCAACGGAGCCTTCAAACTCCCTCTGCAATTGCTTCTTTGCCATCCTTGGACTCTTCCAGTGTCGCTTGTTAGTTCAGCATACAGAGTGAAATTAGTTTGGGGCCAGACGTGGAAAGCGGACATGACTGGCGTGCTCCAGACGGAGGGCGGAGGGAGCCAGAAGCTTCACCACTTACCAAAGACCCTCGCTTGTAGCGACTATACCAGGTGGCTGGCTGCTCTTTGGGCCAACGGGCCATTTTGCTCTGCAAAATACGAGAGGGGTTAAAGCCAAACAGAAAGGCGAGTGTGGGTTCCTCTTACCAGTTTACCGCGCTTGAATTCACTGAACCAGGAGCCCGGGGTTTCCTTTGGCCATGTAGTAATTCTAGCCTGAAAACGGTGGAAGAGGCACGTGGGGGAAGAGAAGAACAGAGACAAGACAAAAAGAAGAGTTACAGTCTGCAATAAAAGATTCCCACGGAAATCACTTGAGTCTTTCCTTTTAAGCAAAACCAGAAACCGACAATGCAACTCCTGAAACTTTCTGGGTCCAGATGTGTTGAAAGAGCACCCAGAAAACCTGATCCTGGATGGTTGGCAGTTGGTGGGGAGGAAGCCAAAAGAGAAACGGGCCTGTTAAGGCCATCCTGGCAAGGGGGACGGTTGATTCGCCCCTCTATTTAAAAAGCCAAAGGAGACTGTTCTGCTTCCAAGGATTTGCTTCTCTGAATGCTTATTAGTGTATTCAAATACATTGTCATAATTGTGAAGCCTAGAACTCTCCTATTCCTTGTTTCATTTCATTTCATGGTGATCCACTGCCATGGATAGGTGAAATCTCCAGGGCACAGTTGAGGAACTGATGGTCCTCCAGATGTTTTGCATAGCAACTCCCAGCAGCCTCAGCCAGAGGCCATTCTAGAAGGACAAATAGTAGAAGCCATTTTTTTAATCATAGGAGTCATCTATTATCTTACACACTCTTATTTGCCAAGAAATGTTCATGGTTCTGGCATCAAAATTCAACATGGTGCATGAATTTTAGGGTAACCTCTCAGCCCTCAGATGCTGTTGCATCCTGTTTCCATTAGTTCTAGTCTGCATAGCCAATAATGGATGATGGAAGTGCCGTCTAAAGGTATCTAAGGCCCATCCAGTTTTAAAGCATCACCCAGTAAGCAAGAGGTCTTTACTCTGCTGGCACCATGGCTAAAACCTAACACACTCAACAATTTCCAGCAGTCTGAGGCAGTTCAAAAATCAACAATCATTGTCCTTCTTGAAAGCTTGTATGTTTACTGATGGCTATTATCAATGAATCTCCAAGGAGTTCCAGATATTGTAATAGGAGAGCTATGTCAGTCATGGTAGCCAAAGTTCATAAAAAAAAATCTGATAGTAGCTGCCACCTCATACTTGCTTGTGCTTCACTGATATGCGGTGACACATTATGGAGAAAGGGGGGCACGTTGGGGAAACCCAAAGTAAGTGCTATGCCAACTTGAAACGCTGCTTCAAGGTAACCCAGCTGGAAGGAGGAGGGAGGGGCCTAACAGAGTACGCTTGAACTGACCCTTAGGAAAACAGCTTGCAAGATTTTAATTGGTTACCTTGGGTGGGAAAAGAAAGACAGTTAAGAAGGGGAAAGGAGGGGAAAGTATAACATAAGGATGTTGGCATGCAAATCTCAGTTCTGGCTATGCATTACTGCAATACATTTGATCTCTAATAAAAAATATATCTTTCTGAGCAAATAGCACTAGCACTTAGCACTTAGACTTATATACCGCTTCACAGTGCTTTACAGAGTCAGCATGTTGCCCCCAACAATCTGGGTCCTCATTTTACCGACCGCGAAAGGGCGGAAGCCTGAGTCAACCTGGAGCCAGTGAGACTGAAACTGCCAAACTGCTCGCAGTTGGCAGGAGGAGCCCGCAGTGCTGCCCTCTAACCTCTGTGCCACCAGGGCCAAGGATTGTTTTCTGCTTAGAGCAGAGGCCCCAACCTTTTGGGCACCAGAGGCCGGTTCCGTGGAGAGGTTTTTCTATGGACCGGAGGGTGCGTGGTTTTGTGTGCTGCCTACATCCCGTGGATGGGGCTTTGCTTGTTTGTGCGGACCGGTTGCTGGCATGCCGCGGCCCAGTACAGGTCCACGGACCACGGGTTGGGGACCCCTGACTTAGAGGTTTAAGTTTGTGGCAGGTCTGACACTGATAGCAGCTTTTCAGACTAACTGTGCATTCTGTGCATTCACATGTCTCTTTCTTGCTACAGTTGTGTGTGTTTGTTTGCTGCCAAGAATACAGTGGCAGACAGGAACTCAGGGACTCGGGAGGCTGAGTGCTGAGAATTCAATGCTCCCTGCGCTGTTCAAGTGGAGAATGTTCTGGAACCTTCCATAAACTTGCCCAGACTTTTTCATGTGACTTTATGTTATTTGCAGGGGTTTCATGGAGCCTCCTTCATACTTGAACCAACAGTTTACATTTAAACGTGAAAAAGCTGTTTTCAGGGCAGTGTATAATTAGGAAAATAAATTTGTCCTATGAATAAACAGTATTTAATCACAAGAATAAATAAATAGGCACATATCTGGACACTTAAAAACACACAAAAACACCTTTTGAACCATAGCTTAAAGAAGTTGAGAGTGAAAAATATTCTTAGGATAAGAGTGTTTTATGTTCACAGGATTGAATGTTGTTGTTGTTGGTCCCACACATCTAGGCCCCTTCTCCCTCCTAGAAGCCTTCGGGCCTGACTCCTGGAGGCTTTTTGTGGTCAAAGTGTCACTGTTATGTGGGTGGGTGGGGAAGGAGGTACAGCAACAGAGGTTTCCTCATTTTCAGAGACACAGAGATGTATCTGTGCCAAAAAGAGTGTGCTGGCTGGAAAATGATGGAATTAGTTTTTCATCTAAGAGGCGGTGGCCAGCCAGGCACTTTGGGCCCTCAAAGCCTCCAGAGGTCTCGGGAGTCTCAAGGCTGAGTGCTCCGAGGGACTTCAGCCTCGTCTCCAGAGATGCCCCAATCTATGTGGAAAAAAGAGGGGCCTGGATGTGTTTGGGGTCCTAAGAATCACAGGCCTTTCATAGATGTTCACACCAAGAAGAGGAGATCCAACATGTTGGATTCCAATCTGGACAGGGAGCAACATGGGGCAATTTTTAACCCACCCAAAGCAGGAGGCCCAGCAGAAACTTTTGTCCCAATGCTCCGTAGACCTCCCGCCCTGCCCCCCCCCCAAGAACAGTCACAACCAGACTGGTCTGTTTTCTAGATCTCGCTCTCAAAGCAGACTGGGGAGGGGGTGTCAGTACAAGGCCCTCATTCCCCCATGTTCATGTGCAATCCATGAATTAACAGGGCACCATGGAAGTGAAAGTGTGAATGGACGACAACAGGACAGACAGCTGTTCTCACTTCCAGCGCAACATTTTTCACTCAAACTGATGCACTTGACCTACCAATAATTTAATTTACAGGAAATGACATGATATATTTGCATGTATGAATCTGAGGAAATTGCCACATTTCAGCTTTTTTTGCAGCTTATTAGCAACACAAATTGTTTTCAGAAGTCTATCAATAAACAGCAAAATTTAAAAGATGCGCAAGGCAGAAGATCTGGAGACTAAAACATACAAAGAACAGCTGCAGGATTTGGGAATGGCCAGTCTTGATAAAAGAAGGACTAGCAGGGGGGACATGATAGCAGAATTCCAGTATTTGAGGGGCTGCGACCAAGAAGAGGGGGTCAAATTATTCTCCAAAGCACCTGAGGGCAGGACAAGAAACAAGGGTTGGAAACTGATCAAAGAGAGAAGCAACCTGGAATTAAGGAGAAACTTCCTGACAAGTGAAGACAATTAACCAGTGGAACAGCTTGCCACCAGAAATCGTGGGTGCTCCATCACTGGAGGTTTTTAAGAAGAGACTGGACAGTCACTTGTCTGAGATGGTATAGGTTCTCCTGCTTGACCAGGGGGCTGGACCAGAAGACCTCCAAGGTCCCTTCCAGCTCTATTCTATTGAAGTGAGAAGGTCAAAGGACAAAACGCAGCATCTGAATCAGCGTTCAGACATGTGAGAAGCAAGGATGACCTGCAAGGAAGGAAAGGGATGGAGAAGGAATGGGGTCGTTGCTGAAGTAAACTAGATTTGTTCAATTTCATTTTCTTTGCTCTTTTTTTCCTGCCTCTAATTCATAGAATCATAAAGTCATAAGGCTGGAAGGGACCTTAGAGATCTTCTAGTCCAGCCCCCTGCCCAAGGCCGGAGTTCTCCTCCCCATCCTAGACACATGGATGTCCAATCTCTTCTTTAAACACTACAGGGATGGAGCACCCACCACTTCTGGAGGCCAGCCGTCCCATTGATTAACAGTCTTCACTGTCAGGAAGTTCCTCCTTAAGCTCTCGGTGGAATCTCTCCTTTTTAGAATTTAGAATAGAGTAGAGGGGCTTTGGAGAATAGGTGGAAACCCCCCCCCCTTCTTCTCTGGGACAGCCTTTTGCTCACTTTTCAATCTTTTCCTGATGGGAATTATGTCGTTGAAAGCAAAATCAAGGCAACGTGCAGACAATGGAAATTTGTCAAACTATCTTCCAAAGGGACAGCAAAAAAGGCATTAACAAGAGTTACTTACCCCCTCAGACTTCTTATCTGGGAAGATGCAAGTTTCCCCACCAGCAGTAAAATTACAGTACACTTTGAAGGAATCCCGGGAACAGCCTTGATTCGGGTCTACCCAATATTCTCCTAGATTTGGGAGAAAAGCAGTGGCTAGAAATTATAAAGCCCAAACACCGTCTTTGGCCTCGGCTCCAAAAGCCCTTCAGAAAAGCTCCATTTTCAGCGTTTTCCAGGGGGCTGGCCCCGAGAGACTGTTCCAGAGAGCTGAAAAGCTTCATTTCTGTCTTTCAGCAGGACTTGATCAAACTTCCTGCACTTCTGAAGTGCATCTTATTTCTCAATCTTTATTCTTTTTTTAAAAAAAGGAATGTTTCCAATTTAAAACACAAATATGAAAAACAGCTTCCAAGAGAAGAGCATCTCTGTGGGCTCCGTGGTACTCGCTTTGCTTGCAGACATTTCGTTACCTGACTAGGCAACGCCATCAGTGCCGGTGAGTGTGAGGTTTGCTCCCTGTTCACACACAGTTGCTTCCCCTGCTGTCTGTCTGTCTGTCTGTCTGTCTGTCTGTCTAAAACCAGTCAGGGAGGGAGCCCTACGGAACTTCAGAATGAAAGCCTAGCGCCCATCTGGATTAACTCTGTTTCTGTCATGCCAACCATGATATTTACACAGCTTTTTAATATTAGATTGAAATCTCTGGTCTTGCTGGTCTGATCAATGGGACCGAATTGGAACATCTGTGAACGTTTGAAAAGAAGTTCAATCGCCCCTTTCTATTTCCAGACCCAACAGTTCCCCCTCCCCCCCTTCCACGGCTGCCGCCTACCGTCTGGGAAGTCCGGGTGGCAAAGCTGCAGGTCCTTGCAGGTCCGAGCTGGGTTGTGCTGGGTGCCCAAGGGGTGTTTCATCTGCTCGATTTCCAGTTTCAGAGAGTTCAAGGAGCCGAAGATCTCCTCCATGCCCTCATGGTAGTCCATGTAATTGTCAGAATTGACATCATCCATCAGCTGGCTGGCATCAATGTTTCTGCGAGTCCGTTTGGAGGACTGGATGGGAAGGGGTTGGATGACTTCTCCTGGAGGACCCTGCATGATGGGAGAAGAAGAACAGGAACCTGGCTTGAGCGAGGCCGCACCAGAGAAGCAGACTCTAATTTCTGACAACCTGGAAAGCATCTTAGCCGCAGCACTTACAGGAGGTCCTGGTAGGCCGGGATGGCCAGTTTCTCCCTTTGGACCGGTTGGCCCCTGGGAAGAAGGAGAAGCAGAAAAGACACGGCCAGTTAACAAGGTGCCAAAGCACAACTGCAGCCCTCCAGAGCCCTTAAAGAAAGCCACCCTGACCACTGCAATTCCCACCGTGCAATTCCCATGTGGGCTTCAAGAAGACAAAGTGGCTCAAGAAGCATGAGCTTGTCTCCTTGAAACCCACATGGAAATTGTACGGTGAGAATTGCAACTGAACATCTGAACATCTCTGTCATGGCTGCATCTCGCCTATCCAAGCTTCAGGAGCTGACAGCCAGACATTAGCGTGGGAGGGATGGGGAGGGGTCGGAATGTGAAGAAATGGGGGGATGGAAGCCCAGGCGATACGTGGATCTGGGAACCGAGCACCTGTTTCCTGAACAATATACAAGCACCTGACTGGACCTTTGCTGATAACGGGGGCAGGAGGGGGAGGGAACTTTCCTTTGCACAGGAAAATCTCAGATTCAGCTTATGCTACTTCTGTAACCACTTAAGCTTCAGTAAAGTAGACTGTTGGCAAAACAAGTGGCCAGGAGTCTTTCTTTGCTAGATGACTGAGTGGGAGATTTGACAATCTCCGTGGAACAGTCTCCTTTTTCGATCTTGACTAGCTCAGTTCCTCCCAACCTCTCATGTTTTCTCGGGCCAGGCAGGGGCACCCAACTCCCCCTTTGTAAACCTCTGCATTCCCTTCTGGGCAGCAATAAAAGGGTGAAAGGGTTAAGCAAAGGCTACACCCCATGGCCCACGAATGGACAAGTCTCCACGGGGAGCCAAACAGGGACTCATACTGTTACTTTTCCCCAAAGGAAATTCACTGGAAGAAGAGATGCAGAAGGACAGTCTCCCTTGTGCTCCCAGCCACCCTCATCCCCCTGCTTTTACAAGTGGACCATCCCCAGTCTGGGGTCTGGAAGAGGAACCCCCCCCCCCCCCCGTCTTCTGCCACTGTGCTCCATGTTAGAGCTACTTTTCCTTCCTTCCCCAGGAATGACGAAGGTTCAGGATAGCCACAGGAAACAGGAATGTCACCTTTGAATGCGCCAACACTGGAAGTTTTTAAGAAGAAACTGGACAGCCATTTGTCCGAAATGGTATAGAATTTCCTGCCTGAGCAGGAGGTTGGACTAGATGACCTCCAAGGTCCCTTCCAACTTTATTATTATTATTATTATTATTATTATTATTATTATTATTATTATTATTATTATTATTATTATTATTATTATTATTATTATTATTATTATTATTATCATCATCATCATCATCATCATCAAAGGAGCAACATCTTGAAGGGGGAGAGGTGGATGATGGGAGGGACAAAGACATGGAAAGGGGAAGAAGCTGGAAAGACAGGAAAGGAACGAAGAGATTCTTCCCCCCTCGCCCCTCCCTCCCCCCGAGACCATGTGGACTGCAATACTACCATTAATAGTAATAAAACAATTTTCCTCCTTTGATAGATTTGATACTTGTACTTACGGAAGATCCTTTAGCACCTTTTGGACCGGGGGGCCCCTGGTTGAAAGAGAGAAGAGCTAGTTGGCAAGGCGTCCATTAAAAATAACTAAGCAGCCCATACCCGAGGTCGGTGTGGATTAGCAGAACAAAGATTGTCCCAAGTTGTGTCCTAATTAACGCGTTCAGCGTGTCAGTCTGAGGCTGAAACAGCCGTTGGCTTTGTACGCTCAGAATTCTTACTATACTTCAGAATAAAGATATTTATCTTTCTGAAATCACTGAAATGCCAAATCATGTTCTATCATATTGGTGGAGGGTGGGGGGGGAACCCACGTGTTCATTTAGTGGAGCCAAGTCCCGGCCTCTTTGCTACTCACCGGCAGCCCTGGAGGACCAGGAGGGCCAAGAGGGCCGGACGGACCTTGAATACCCTGGAAGGAGGAGACAAAGAGGAGAGTCCATGCTTGCAAAGCCTTCTTAATCCCCAGCTTTAGTGGAGGGGTTCTTTCCAGTTCGGAAGCTTCAGCCCCCCTGCCCATCCTCCCCAGGGGGGAGCTTAAGGGCCACCAAGGGTCCTGGTGGCCAGGCTCTCCGTGGTCTCTACCTGTTCTCCTTTAGGCCCTGATCCTCCCTGAGGTCCTGGCAGTCCTCGGTCTCCCTTCTCTCCTTGCTCGCCGGGAGGCCCAATAAGACCGATCAGCCCAGGATGGCCCTAGAAAAGGCAAGGGCCGCATGGCAAACGCTCTTTGGGCCACGAGGGGAGAAGCCAGGCAGTGGCCGGGAGCTGCAATTCCCAGCTGGCTTCAGGAATTCCCTTCCCAGGTCTGGATGTTACCGCGAGAGTTAAGACAGATGCTTCAAATTCACACGCCGGTCTGGAGGTTAATTTTGGGGCCACCCACAAATACCTTAATGCTGGAAACTCACCTTTTCTCCCTTTGGACCCGAATCCCCTTTCAGGCCAGGTAATCCAGGTGGACCCTTTGGAGAGAACAAGAAAGTTGATACTAAAAACCAGGCATCTTGTTCGGCCACTTTTTTTTTTTCTTTTAGATTTATGGGAGCCAAATTAATTTTGGGAAAGGAAAATTGAATTTGGACCGATGTTAACACATTTCTAATTCTGAGTCTTTGCTTTTCGTGCTGCTACAGAGGGGTCACTTTCAAAGGGTCCCCTGGCTCCATCCGAGGGGTTCCACATAAAGGCCAGGACAGAAGCTCTTTCGTGAGGGAGGGGCTGGCCAGGCAAGATGCTCTGTGGAGGAAAGAGGCTGCTCTGGATCTGGGCCCCCGACCCCCCCATCGAGAGGCAGATCTTGCTTGAACCAGGAGAGCTGAAGGGGAGGGGGAGGGGCCGGCCTTTGCTTTCAGCCCCACGGCAGGTAAAGCACAATTCCCAAAATGTCGGACATACCATCGGGCCAGGAGGTCCATCTGGGCCTGGGGAGCCTGGAAGCCCTTGCTCACCCTAGAAAACAACGGAGACATTTAGCTATTACGGTACATTCCGGGTTAGCAGGAGAAATGGCTAACTGAGGTGGGAGATACTCGCATATCTCCCGCAATCTAGAAGAATCAACCGAGGCACGGAGAGTGGAGTCTTTATGTTCCATTTCTACCCCGCATATTTGTTTCAAGGAGGGTTGCCGTAGCAATAGCCATGATTAATGCAGCATTCACCGTGGAAACCCGAGCTCAGTGCCGTCTTCCAGCAGGTGCAAAGCATGTCTGTGCATCGCCTTCCTTTGGGGCAGCAGCTGGACGCGACTCCCCCGCAGTCTAAAAGGGCTACAGGAGGTCCTGTGCGACCACAATTGGAACCGGAACATCTGCCACTAAGCGATGCAGTTCTTATGTGAATCTCACCCAATTTTTTTGCTGCAGTCCTTAACCGAGGAAGGGAATCGCTGCTGTTACTAACCAAACAGCTAACAATTATTACACAAATGACTTTACTTGCTGGAAGCCGGCAGGGAAAGCCGCAACTGGGGATCCCCTCACCCTGTGAGGTGGCAACAGCTGTAAATACACACCGATTGCCAAGGGCCCAAATTGCAGTCGTGCGACTGTGGGGAGGCTGCAACAGTTGTAAGTGTGAGTCTAAGTCACTTTTTCAGTGCCATCATAACTGAACAGTCGCTAAGCAAATAAGTGTAAGTTGAATACTACCAGTATTGACCAGATGTAAAATCTAAGATATAACTAAGGATAAAGGAGTGGGAGTGAAATACCTGGTGGGGAAATACCTGGGTGTGTGTGCTTTAGCATTCCTAGTCCAGACTACCAGGAGGAATATTGCTGAGTAGGAGGCCAGCCTGCTCTTGACCTCCACTTGGAGTACAAATTTACAGGCCTGACCAAATTCTGATTCCCCCCCCCCCAGGTAGTTGGGAGGGCGGTCTGCTTACTGGGATTTTCCCTCAAAAAATCCATCTCCTAGAATTTGCTGCACCAGCAGAGTCTGCAAATGGTGTCAGAGACCCCATTAGGTGGAGCTTTTCTGGAAGCCAGGCTTCAAAAATCCCATCTCCTCGAATCTGCTGCGGTGGCCGACTCTACCGATCGAGTCACGAACCTCATTACATCAATTGGAGATTTTCTGAAGGCCAGCAAAATAAAAAAGTTCTTCTGAAGGACTCTGCAGCGTCACACTGTATGGTCAGAGGGAACGGAAGAGTAAGGCCAAAATAAGGCCTCATAAGATGCGAAACAAGGCCTCGACAAGGCCAAAAGAAGAGAACGAGAAGGCATCTCCTCTCAAGGCTTTCCAGCACCTGGCTCAGTTTTTTTGACTGACACCTGACATCAGAGAGAGAGAGAGAGAAATCCCATCTGAAGACTCTTGTGGTCCACGGAACCTGCAGCTTTTTGGCTTGGCTAATTTGTGGTAATGACTGACCATCCGAAACGTTTGCTTCTCAAGGAGATCCAGATTCCTTTTCTATCAACTCTCTTTCTGCTCTCCATGCAAATATTGAGGAGATTTTTCCCCCTTCTCTCAACCAGCTGGTGAGCTTTGACCCATACCATGAACCGGGATGTCTTGATTTTTAGTTTATTAAGTGATTTGGAACAAAATCTATTCAATCGCTCAGTTACAGTTATCTGATGTCTTGACAAGTGCCTTTGGTCAAGTCTCTGGGGAGGCTGCTCTGTCAGCGGCGCCACCATAATGGGATTAACATCCATCACAACAATCAACAGACATGCTTGTGGCATCTTTAATCCCAAAAAACACAGGCTGACCGAAGCTTCCACGGACTAAACTCCAATTAATCTTACATGAACTTGTCTTCAGTTGTCATATCTGTATCCATCATTATAAAAGCCTTGACAGCAGCTGCAAACTGAAAGAGCATGGATGACATCACAGCCTAACATTGTAACCTAACTAACTTTATATGTGAGAATTGATGCTTTTCTTCTTAGAAAGAACAGGAAAATATTTGTCCAAGGTCTTTCCCATGAAGCCTGGGTGGTGTTCTTCACTGGAACTTGAAATCTGCAACATCAGTTCAGAAGTATTAGAGATGGCAACCTAGAACTAGAACTACAAATGACATGACAATCTGAGGGATTGTCTCTAATACTTCTGATCTGATGTTGCAGATTTCAAGTTCCAGTGAAGAACACCAACCAGTCTTTATGGGAAAGGACATTTGTTGGTCTGGATGTTTGTAGTACTGGGTTTTTTGATCCCCTTGGAAATGCTGGAAGTAAGGTGGTTTCTGTGAACTTAAAATGCTCTGCAGATAAGGATTCTGGGGCAGTTCCTGAAAAACAGAGCCAAGGAAATTCCAGCAGAGGATCTGGATCACAACTCAACTGCCTTTACGAAGAGGGCATGGGGAAATGGCTCTGGAGGACAGGAGAAACCTTCTTGCCACCACCAAAGCAATGTTCAGACAAGCATGTCTTGACCCCATTCCAAGAAAATAATTTGAGAAAACTTTTCAGGCCTTTCTTGGTTTACACAAAGATAAAGGCAGGGAGGGAGAAGCACATTCCGACTTGAAAGGTTCTGTTCCTGTAGCTGGGACAATAAAAGCAGCCCTGATGTACATACTCTTGGTTTTGGATCAACGCTCTCCTAGAGATGAAGTTGACCTTGGTTGGCCAACACTTACCACTGGGCCAGGTATTCCCCGAAGTCCATCTGGACCTGGCTTTCCTGGAGGTCCCTGAGGACCAACAGGACCCGTTTTCCCAGGCGGTCCTTCCAATCCAGCTTCACCCTAAAGAGAAGCAAGACGTTACAGGGAGAACATGGCCGAAACCAGAAATGCTGCTTTGTCTGGCAGCAGCCCAGCGTTTTACCTTGGCGCCTTTCTCTCCCTGACGGCCTTCCGGTCCTGCTGGTCCAGGTGGCCCCTAAAGAGATTGGGAGACACGGCGCAGTGAGATGAAACCCAGATGGTTGCAGCAACTTGGCCTCTTATGAACCTCCTGCCAGATCTAACAACAGCCCGACCAAAGGAAGACCCAACCCCCATCCCCAGCATGAGCCAAGAGGCTGGCTGGCTCTTCAGAGGTTTGGCCCTTTTTTAAAAAACTCTTTTATCTTTCATGGTTGTTTTTCACCCAACATTTTTGTTGTTAAAAGCAATACCTTCCTTTCATTGACTGTCAGGAGTTGTCTGAGATTCCCTCAGGTAACAAATCCATAATTGCTTTTGCTTTTTGCATACAGACTACAGAGCAACAGAGTCGGAAGGGACCTTGGAGGTCTTCTAGTCCAGGGGTAGTCAACCTTGGCTCTTTTATGACTCGTGGACTTCAATTCCCAGAATTCCTGAGCCAGCTTAGCTGGCTCAGGAATTCTGGGAGTTGAAGTCCACGAGTCATAAAAGAGCCAAGGTTGACTACCCTGGTTCTAGTCCAACATCCTGATCAGGCACGAGAACCTGGACCATTCCGGACAAATGGCTGTCCAGTCTCTTTCTAAAGACTTAAAAACCTCCAGTGACGGAGCTTCTCTATCTGTTTTATTTGCATCTAACCTTCTTCTTAAGTGGAAACCAGTTTCAAAGCAAACAACAGATGATTTTTACTCAAAGAAATTAGAACAAATATGTAACTTTGAAATAGTATCTATGGGATATTTGAAATCTGGCTGGAGGAGAACCAGGACAATCTGGAAGACCCCACCCTATTTCTGGGGGGTGACAACTGTTCTTATCCTTGCTTTCCTGTTTTTCAAACGAGCTGCAAACTAACAAGTTGTTATGGCAAGAAAGATAATCATTTGTTCGTAACAGCAACACAAGAGTCTGCCTTTATTCAGGCCAAGATTTCCAAGTATGTCAGAGATTTGTTGTTATGGTGATACATTATATTTCCAATAATTAACACCTCTGATGTCCCTGCTACTGTTTTCTTTGCAGATGTGCGGAATTTGGTCTGCAAGTTTAAAGCACCGTTGACCCGTTTGCATCAGGATACAGGTGTCCATTCGGTAAAAACAAGCTCGGCTGTGCCTTTTTGTTGCATTTTCTGAGCCGGTTTGGCTAAAAACTGGGAGATGAAAGACTGAAAAAGCAACTTACTCTCTTGCCTGGTGGTCCAGAAGGGCCTGGCTCTCCGGTTGGACCCGGGGACCCCTGAAAACAAAAGGAGAGGAAAAAAAATATGCTTATCCTTAGAGCTCTAAGACAAGAACCAGCAGGATAGGCTAAACCAGGGGTAGGCAACCTTGGCTCTTTTATGACTTGTGGACCTCAACTCCCAGAATTCCTGAGCCAGCTATGCTGGCTCAGGAATTCTGGGAGTTGACGTCCACGAGTCATAAAAGAGCCAAGGTTGCCTACCCCTGGGCTAAACCTTCATTTGGTTACACAAAGTCCTCAACTGACCCCAAATTTGTTGCTAAGCCAGAGTTGTTAAGTGATTTTTGCCCCCATTTTTCGTCTGTCAGATCTGCCATCAAATCTCCCAGCTTCGCTTTGCTTTGATGGGAGCCTGTCATCAAATGTGGGGAGGGGGAATGGGAGTGGGAAATGACAGGAACCAGATGTAACAACCAGAGACAAAGGTGGAGAGATCCAAGGAGACCAGCCTGGGAACGGAATGCAAACACCCACCAAAGAGGCGCCAAAATGTGGAACTGTTAGCAAAACCCCTAATCTGAACCTTCCTGGACACCACCAAGATGACGGGGGAGGGCCTGGGAGAAGGGGAAATTACCGGGTTGACACGGGAAATCCTCAGATCTGGCTTTGCTGTGCTGTAACCACTTGGCTTTCACTATAAATGGAGTCGAGGGTCTTCCTTCCCTGGATGCCCAAGCTGGGACAAGCCTGACAATGTCCTTTTATGAGGTTTTGGGGTCACCACAAGCTCAAAAGAGCATCCTTCGGTATCTTTCTGACTCCTAGGCTTCTTATCACCTTGCCCATTAAATTCATCTTGGCCTATGACTCCAGCTGGTCACCTACAGAGGATTTGCACCAGAAATTTGCTGTTTGCACGCTTGTGGAAAGAGAGAGACGTGCCAAACTGTCTTCCGCAGAGAAGCACCAGGAGTACCAGCTAGGAGAGTTTTTTTTTAAAGAAGAAAAGGGGGCTTAGTCTTGGGATAGGCTTTCCTCCAAATGAAGGCTTCCAGGCTGACCCATTCAGGAAACACCAGTTGACCCCAGGTTCTGACTCATGGCTCCCACCAGCCCTCAGCTCTCTCTTGATGGCCGTCTCTGCTTAGTCACTCACTCATCCACATCCTATTTTTGGTACTAATCAAAGAGATGCATCTTTTGCCCCTAAGAAACACACGCAACCTGCCTCTAGTCAGGGTACTCACCGTTTGGCCAGGTTCACCATCATCTCCCTTATCACCTGGTGGGCCATCCTGACCCTAGGAGAAAGCAGAATAGAATAGAGCTGGAAGGGACCTTGGAGGTCTTCTAGTCCAGCCCCCAGCTCAAGCAGGGGAAACTTATACCATCTGAGAAAAGTGACTGTCCAGTCTCTTCTTAAAAACCTCCAGTGATGGAGTGCCCACGATTTCTGGAGGCAAGCAGTTCCACTGGTTAATTGTCCTCACTGTTAGGAAGTTTCTCCTTAATTCCAGGTTGCTTCTCTCTTTGATCAGTTTCCAACCCTTGTTTCTTGTCCTGCCCTCTGGTGCTTTGGTGAATAATGTGGCCCCCTCTTCTTTGTGGCAGCCCCTCAAATACTAGAACACTACTATCATGTCCCCCCTATTTCTTCTTTTCTCTAGACTAGCCAAACCCAAGTCCCGTAGCCGTTCTTCGTATGTTTTAGTCTCAAATAGAAAAGGAATTCTTAACTTTCCCATTACTATTTCATGCCTTTTGAAGGGCAAATTCCTGAGGAATTTCCTAATAAAATGGAAGTTATTAATGGCTAAATGCAAGGGGTGACACAGGAACTGTAGATATTTTATATATAATTTATTACATTTTAATATATTTGTGTGGCTTTGAGTCAGTGTTGGCTCCTCGTGACTGCCTAGACTGGGCCCTACAATTTTCAGAAGGGGTTTGCTGTTGCCTGCTTCTTCTTGGGGCTGAGGGAAAGGGTCTGGCTCAACCCCCCCCCATGGGTTAAAACTCCAGGTCTCACTCTCTACCTGGTGCCATAACCATAGCACCAAACTGGCTCTTGTAATTAAACAGTACAGGATGAATATATTAATATTCTCAATGAATGTGGAGCACACGGGCATTATCTCTAATGAGTTCGATGTAAGATTAAGATTTCAAAGATCAAGTTTGATTAAAAATTTCTACCATTCAATAATAGCAAAGAAAAATGAAACCATTGTAAAAAGAATAGACATGCTAGATAATGATGATGATGATGATGATGATGATGATGATGATGATGATGATGAGAGAACTATTTGCTTATCAGAAAATGAATCAACAGGCCACAAAAGTGAAAAACATGCATATATTCAGAAATATATATATCTGAAATCTTAAGGGAAATACAACATTCTAAATGTCCACATTCCCTATTTCAATCCAAACTGAAATATTTCCAAAAGATCTGGAGAGCAGCTGCCTGGAATTTTCTCCCCGTGAAAATTCTTAGACATGTTTTGAGAAAGAAAGGCCCTCCCTGTTTTGCCACCTTGGTGGTACTTACAGCTGGACCAGACTCCCCCGGAGGACCTGGATCACCTGGAAAGCCAACTGGACCCTGGAAAGGGATGGAAAGGAAGAGCATGACTGGATTCCCATGAAATCCTCCAATCAGCAGAACAAAGAAAGGAGCGACAATCTTGGCAATACACTGACCACGATAGTTAGATCAAGGGCGATTAGAAAACCCATTTCCATGAAACGGAACAACTCCATGATCTCAAGCAGAGTACTGAGAGAGAATATCCTGTTATTGGTCTGATGGTCTCTCAACTTGGTCCCTGCAGTCAGAGGGTCCCTTGGCTGCATGGGCCACGTTGAGGTCCCTGGGCAGCGAATTTGATTCTGTGACTCTTAGGCAAGTGGAGACGGCTCTAGCCTCTGCTTGTTAGATCCTAGGTCAGACATGTCAAACACAAGGCCCGGGGGCCGGATGTGGCCCGCGAAGTGGTTTCATGTGGCCCGCGAAGCCATCCTGGAAACAGTGAGGGAACGGCCCCTGCTGCCTTGGCCCTGGCCCAGGCCGGCCAGGAGCCAATGTATAATTTTGTGGTGGCCATTTATGCTGAAATGCATTCAGTCTTAGCTCCACAAGGCCATTTGGAAACAATGAGGAACCAGCCCCTGCCGTGTCGGCCCTGCCCCCTGGGTGCATGCTGGGGAGGGGTCACCCTTTGTGAGGAATGAGGAAATGCACCATCGCCTGGAAGTGGCCAGCAAATGGCCCTCGCGTACTTCACATATCTGGCTTGATGGGCTCTGCCCTGGTCCCCCCCCCTTCTGCCAGAGACCCTCAGATCTGTCCCACTCCTGCCCAGGCCCCCACAGGCACCCTTGATGCGAATGATGTAGAGCTGGCCACGCCCACCCAGTAGGCCACACCCACTCCATCCACGCCCATCCAGTAGGCCACACACACCATGGCCACACACACCCCGAGGGCAACCACAATGCTGATGCGGCCCTCAATGAATTTGAGTTTGACACCCCTGTCCTAGGTGGTTAGCAGCTGCCCAGGCAAACTTGAGTGGTGGTGTCAGGTTCCTTGAGGGAGGGGATGGTCCCCTCAACCTTGAAGGAGCTACATGCAGTGCGCCCTTTTATCAAAAAAGACAGGGACCCGGTGTCCCTGGCCAATTATCATCCAATCTCAACCCTTCCTGCACAGATGTGTGCGACTCCCAGCCTTATGCCATTTGTTTGTTTGTTTAATTTATTTGCTGCCCATCTCACCCCAAGGGGGCTTGTTGAAGACTTGGTTATTCACCCAGGCTTTGGGGACGGGGTGACTGAGGAGACCACTTTTGGGGGGTGTTTTGCTTTGCTTTTATTTATTACATTTATTTCTGCCCCATCTCACCATGAGGGGCTTTGCATTTTGGTCTGTTGGATTTTCCTTTTAATGAGTTGCTTTTTCAATGTAAGCTGCTCAGAATTGTTTAGGAGTTGGGCAACCTATTATTTATTTATTTTTATTTATTTATTTATTATTTTGATTTATATCCCGCCCTTCTCCCGACGGGACTCAGGGCGGCTCACAACCTATTTAAAAACAAAACATACCCACAATCCCCACCGAATAAAACCAATTAAAAGCCAAATATTTAACAGTGATTTCCTGTTTAAAATTTCCTTAAAATAACCCAATTTTTAAAATCCTCTCTAGGCCAGGCCCGCTTGCTGGAAAAGCCATGTCTTGAGGGCGCGGCGGAAAGTAAAGAGATCCGGAATCGTCCGGATCTCGGGGGGTAGATCGTTCCAGAGGACGGGGGCACCCACAGAGAAGGCCCTCCCCCTGGGGGTCGCCAGCCTACATTGCTTGGCCGACGGCACCCTGAGGAGGCCCACTCTGTGGGAGCGTACCGGTCTATGGGAGGGAATCTGTGGCAGAAGGCGGTCTCGGAGATAACCAGGTCTTATGCCATGGAGCGCCTTAAAGGTGGTAACTAACACCTTAAAGCGCACCCGGAAGGCCACCGGTAACCAGTGCAGCTCACGCAGCAGCGGTGTTACATGGGAGCGACGAGTCCCTCCCAACACCGCCCGCGCGGCCGCATTCTGGACCAGTTGAAGCCTCCGGGTGCTCCTCAAAGGGAGCCCCATGTAGAGAGCGTTACAGTAGTCCAGGCGGGAGGTGACGAGAGCATGAGTGACTGTGCGCAAGGCGTCCCGGTCCAGAAAAGGTCGCAACTGGTNGGAACTCCACCCCAAAGCCACGAATGATCTCCCCCAGCGGCTTTACATAAATATTGAACAAAAGGGGAGAGAGGACCGACCCCTGGGGCACCCCACAAGTTAGGGGTCTAGGAGTCGACCTCTGTCCCCCTGCCAATACAGACTGCGTACGGTCGGTGAGGAAGGAGGAGAACCACCGCATAACGGTGCCTCCCACTCCCAACTCACCGAGACGCCGCAGCATGATACCGTGGTCCACGGTATCAAAAGCCGCTGAGAGGTCCAAAAGAACAAGGACAGAGGAATATCCTCTGTCCCGGGCCCTCCAGAGATCATTAACCAACGCGACCAATGCCGTTTCCATGCTGTGTCCCGGCCTGAAGCCCGACTGGTATGGGTCTAGATAGACTGTTTCATCCAGGTGCCGGGGGAATTGCCGTGCAACCACACTCTCAACAACCTTCGCCGCAAAGCGAAGGTTGGAGACCGGGCGATAATTGGCCAACTCATCTGGGTCCAGGGAAGGCTTCTTGAGGAGGGGCCTCACAACGGCCTCCTTAAGGGCCGCAGGGAAGACACCCTCCTGCAAATAAACTTGTTACATAAATAAAAAGGCCCAAGGAAGCAGGTTCCTGATCTCCCCACTCCCCCCCCCCAGCCCTCCCTGGATGTCTTTCTGAAGAGCTCTGTGAAAAGGGGTTCTGCTGTAGGGAAGCAAAGGCAGCCGGGCTGCCCCTATTGCAGGGAAAGGCCCCATAGCCTGCCCCCAAAGTCTGTCTGAAGAAGCACCTAAGAACCAAGCAGACGCAGCAGGGTTCTCAAGGAAGAGGAGAAAAGCAAAGGAGGAACCAGGAGCCCAGCCCAGAGAACAATGGGGAGAGGGGCCAGTCTCCTTCCAGGACTGGGCAAAATAGAGGACGGAGTTACTTACCGGGCTCCCTTTGGGGCCATCATCTCCTGGGGGACCTTTGGGACCTGGGGGGCCAGCAGCCCCAGAGGGGCCTGCTTCCCCTTTTTCCCCCCTCTCTCCTTTAGGACCCTGTCAAAGGAAGATGCTGGTTAGGAGGTCGGATTTGTTTCAGCAACAGATTAGGGGGGGACAAGGGCTGATTAAAGGTCCAATCAGCACTTAAAGGAAATCAAAAAATGACCAGCATTTGATTATTTTCTGATGCTCAATCAGCCTCACACTAAGACACAGATGCCTCCTCCACTGCTGTGTCTTCACGGGATACAGAGCTCGCTTCCTACACTGGAGTTGTGTCTTCTGACTTTTCCTGCCTTGATTAAGCAGCTGAGTTTCTGTGGGGCTGGATTTCAAGGGACCAACCGGTCCCATAAACAGATAAGTTGATGGGTGAATTGCTGATACTCAGAAGAATTAGAGGTCTGAAAGACGACTGAGACGGGAACAAGCACAACGGTGGTTGTGAATCATCTTGTCAATCCACCTGGTGGAATATGGCTCCAGAAGACATTATTGGTGGTAGGGTCAGAAAAGGGATAGAACTGGAAACGGTGTAATAAACGCCATTTTGAAAATCTTTGCCTGAGACTTTGAAACCATTCCTGAGTACCCATCTTATTCCATTTCATCTCAGTGATACTTTTCATCACAGATACTTTTAAAAATGTTTTAAATCTTACTGTTGGTCCAGAGTCTCCGGGCAGGCCAGGCCCTCCCGCTTCTCCAGGTTCTCCCTGCAAAAGGCAAGACAATCCATGTGCTCTAGACCAGGGGTAGGCAACCTTGGCTCTTTTATGACTCATGGACTTCAACTCCCAGAATTCCTGAGTCAGCATAGCTACCCTGCTCTAGGCAAACCCCTCTTGGCTCTGGGATACTTTGGTCTGACAGCCGAAGATGCTCAGAGTCAAGAGCTTGCTCCAGGTTTCCCACAATCTCTCCAACCCCCAATCTGGAAGTTGGTCCAGCTGCTCTTCCTTCGTACCCTTGATAGGTAGCAGGAGAGCTTTGGTAACCCCCCCCCTCCATTAGATCTTCTTAAAACCCAACAGACCTTTCTTAACTGCAGCATATTTAGGCTCTGTCTTCCCCTTCCAAGATTCCCCTTCAAAATGGCATTACCTTTTCACCAACGGCCCCTGGATTTCCAATCCCTCCGACTGAGCCTTGTGGTCCATCAGCTCCAGGGGGTCCACCTGGGCCTCTGGGTCCGGGAGGGCCCGGAGGACCCTGGGGAAGGGAGAGAGAAAATAGCCTTTCAAATGATGGAACAATAAAGCTTTTGACCAGAACTTACACAGTAACATTAACATTTAAGGGGAAATAATTTGCTTTATTACCATTTGACCAACATCTCCAGTTTCTCCCTTGTCACCTGGAGGTCCAGGTAAGCCCTGTTGAAAGAATTAAAAAGAGGTTTTTTTCCCCTTTAGCTTTTGAAAAGACAGAACTTGGAGAGATAAAGTGAAGACAAGCTTGCATTTGCAAACACCATGGCTGTGTTGATGCAACACATCTGACAAATCCATGCAACCCACATGATGTGAGAACCCAGGTGATGCAACCAGCCATCACAAGAGCTCTCTGCTGTTGACAGGCAGGATGTTAATAATGGTGCTGATCAGCTGTCAAATGACAGCAGTTTGATGCCCATTTCCTCGCCTGGCTAAAAGATAATCCAATGATAGCTGAAGATCCCCCTTTGCTACCTCTGAGGGCCAAATATTCTCCTGGACCTTTGATGACTGACACTCTGCTCCAGTTCATTGCCTGCACCAGTTCTGTTGAAGGGCTTGGCCTTTATTGACTACAATGTGGCTATCAAACTTATCCAATTAAACTTTGCCATCTTTTTGCAAACTCTACATTTGTTCTTAGCTAAAAGGCTAAAAAATAGTCTCCTTATTTTACTGAAGACCTGGCAAGACCTGGCTAGGAAGAGTTAGACTTGTATTTCTAATTGACCTTTATTTTCTTGATTCTACTTCTAACCACACTTTATATCATTCATCTTATTTTATTAATTTTATTTGCTTTATAACCAAAATAAAGCACTTTGACAAAATATTTACATTTTGCAAACGTTTCACACGTTTTGCAAATAATGACAATAATGCTAATAATATGTTAAACTTGTACGCTTCCTGATTCTCAACAATGCTGGGCTGTTCACTTCAGATGAGAGATTAGAATAAAATCAATAAAACATAAAAAGTAAAGATAAAAGCTGGCAGGTGGGAGGGAGAATATAATCCCTCCCCTCCCATGGAAGCTCTGGGTGGAGGGCCAGGTCTTCACAGCTCTTCTAAACAACACTGGGGGGAGGGAAGGAGGGGGAGGCTTCCAGATGAGGGGAGGGAATCTCACTTCAGGGGGCATTTCACACATTTTACAGATATTTCACACTTCCCTCCACCCACCCACCCACCACCAAGACAAAGCTGGAACAAACACTCCAAGCTTAAACGCGCTTTTAGATTTTTACAGCCCAAGCAATTTTGGGTAGTGCCAACGGGCAGAGTCAATGTGCACAAAAAAGAAGGAATTATAACTGCAGAAGCTACTTGACACCCAGTTCAACAGGCAATCCTAATTTCTCTGTTTTTCTGTTTTGGCTGGAACCATCCAGTGCTGCACATGATGACTCCACCCCAGACCGCCAGAGCCGATCCCTTTTGACCGTTACCTGCAACCCAACCGGTCCCGGAAGGCCAGGAAATCCTCTCGGCCCTTCATCCCCCTTCTGTCCAAAAAGGCCCTGCTGTCCTCGTGGGCCAGGCTCCCCGTCAGCTCCCTTGGAAGAAGAGGGAAAAGTTCACAGCTAACAGCACATTCAATGCTGGACTCTCTGACTTTCATGCAGAAGGAGATCGAGCTCTCTAATACGCATTAGGCCAGCGGTTCTCAAACTGTGGGTCGCGACCCCTTTGGGGGTCGAACGACCCTTTCACAGGGGTCGCCTAAGACCATCGGAAAACACATATTTCCGATGGTCTTAGGAACCGAGACACCGCTCCTCTATCCGTCTCCGCACGGCTTCGAGCTGGGAGCCATTGCAGTGCCAGGTTCATTTCCGTCGAGCATCTCTTAAGGGAGGCTGCACTGCTTCGCGGCCCTTTCCGCGGAGGAGGCTGAACTAAGCTCTGCCGGTGCTGTCGCCCTCTTGGCTCTTTCTCTCTCTCTCTCTCCCCGCCTGGGCGCTTCTCCAACCAGGCTGTGTGGAGCTGGTGGAGCGGCCTTCCTGCCCCCCTGTCCCCGGCCAGCTGGAACCAGGCAGTCCGGCGACCTTCGGAAGTGAGGCGAGGACAGGCGAGGCATGCTGAGCCCCAGGCGCGGTGGGTGAGTGGGCGGCGTCGGTGCGCGCTTGGAGAGCCCTTAGGGTTGGGGGTCACCACAACATGAGGAACTGTATTAAAGGGTCACGGCATTAGGAAGGTTGAAAACCACTGCATTAGGCCATCAAAGATTACAGCCATACAGGCATCCACCCAACCCTTTAAGGAACTCAATTCTACTTCCTTAAGCCAGGCAATTCAACATGAGGGGCCTTTTATTTGAAAAGTTTGGTCTATTTATGCTCCCAGAACTACACACTGCATGGAGTTAAAAGGATATATAATAAGAAGTGGGAGAACCTAAGAGGAAATGAGGCACAGACAACACTTTTCTCTTCCTGCTATGAATCTCCCATCGGCCTCCTGTTCCCTCTAAAGCCACGGAGTGATGGACCTGGTAGCTGATATTTTATATACAGAGAACATTTGTATACAGAAGGATTACTTACCGCTAAACCTGGTTGGCCAATTGGGCCCTGTGGACCTATAGGACCTGGTGGACCCTAGCAAGAAACAAAGACGCGTCTTCAAAGAAATGGCAAAAAAGTCTTAGAAATCAGTCTAAGGAAACCCATGCGGAACGAGGCTCTCAAGTCGCACTGACACCTTGCTGGATCTGGCTGGACACGTCCCCCCCCCCTCGCATTCTGCCAGGGTCCTCCAGCCACGGTGATGGATGCTCAGAGGGGAGGGCTGAAATATTAGACCCTTGCAATTCAAAACCTTGCTGAAGAAGTAACAAGGCGCATCCCAATGATGTTGGGTAACTGAAGTCTCTGTTTGGGAAGTGGTGGGATGGACTCCAGTACCGGGTTAAGATTAGTGTGGCCTCACTCACTCCTGGAGACTCTGAGGGTGGAGAGGCTGGAAAAAGAGCTTTGACTCACAAATGTTCTCACCAAAGCAGCTGCGACTCCATAGCTGCCCATGGGAGTTAGTAGGAAAGGGACACTGGGATGCCTTGGGACGGGGGGGGGTAACCTCCTCCCTCACCTCCGTGTGGGAAAGCCACAGCTCACCTGTTCTCCTTTGTCACCTCTGCTTCCTTTCTGCCCTGATTCACCAATTTCACCCTAATAAATGGAAAATATCATTCCGTAATACAAGCAGAACTGTCATATGCAACAACCAATGAGAACCTAAGAAAGGAAGAAGATTCCTGGATTTGCTCCTTATCTTATACGTTCTTAACAAATTAATAATGTTTATTAGTTTGGTCTGATCCTAGAAAATGAAGAATGAATACACCTCTGGGTAGATTTATTTTTTTTTCAGGTCAAAGCTGCACTTCCAGAAAAAAAAAAAACATTGTAAAATTAAAATCATTTTGGTATGTTGAGAAATTTCTTGGAAGAAAACCATGCAAGAAACATGACCAGCATTGCAGAAATGGCATCTGAAGAAAGTTTCTGCTTTTCGTAAAAAAAAAAAAAAAAGGGCCTTCCTAACATTAAGAGCAGCTGGGCTTCCCTTCAAGGGATGATGGGACAAGCCATTCCTCTGCTGGGCTCTGACCCCAATTCCTGCACTGCGGCAGCCTTACCGTGAATGGCCTCGGGAGCCCCTGTCAACTCGGGGCTTTGGATCCTGTTTCCATCAATCTCTGAGCAGGTAAAGCTGCTTTACGCCCTGTGGCAGGACATTTGGCAAGGCCACGGGGTAAGCACTGAGCGGATTTGGGTCAAACTGTGCCAATACCTGCAAGGCCATCTTGCATTTTGATAGCCTTCAGTTTATGCACAGATCCTCAGCTGCCCTTAGAAAAAGGGTTTTCACTTGGAGGGAGAACTCTACCACCCTTAAGATACCCCAAATGTGGACAGAGAAAGATATACAAGAAATGGAACGGCCAATTCTGAAGTTGGCACGGTTTCACTGCCTGCCATTTGAAAGCATTGGAGGAAAACCATCCTGTTGCCAGGGCTTTGTGGCCCTACCTGCAAAGCAACCCAACCAATGGAGGAAAGCCAGAACGTTTCCCTGGCATGGAAGCTGCCTACCTTGTCTCCATCTTCCCCTGGGGAGCCAACCGGGCCGGCAGGACCCGGAAGCCCAACTGGTCCTTGGATGCCGTCTCGTCCAGCTGGGCCTTGAGGGCCTTTTTCACCCTAAGCCCAAGGAGAAAATCAAAGTCTTCTCAGCCACAACCCAGAAGCCATTGGTGCTTTCTCAGGACAGGCAGTATTTTAAGGCTCTCTTTCTTGGGATAGCATGGGGAATTAGGAGCTGGACAAACAAGAGGACTACGGGCAGGGTGGATGGAGGCTCTGCCCTGGGGTCTGATGGCCACAAACCCAGTTTCATTTGGGCCGGGGAAGCAGCCTCAAGCACGGCCCAACCTGAGCCCTGAGACTGAGGGACGTATGGCAGGAAGCGTTCCCTCGGCCGGATCAGAAGGTGGTGATCTTTGCACGCAAAGCCGTTGGGCTCCCATCTTTCCACAAGCTCTTCTGAACCAGGCCCTCCTTTGAATTAGCTCAACACCCCTGCGGTGCTCCAGGAATTCAGGAAAGGAGGGTGGGGGGTCAGGAGACATTGCTGGGGGCTGACCCCACGTCAGCCCTCCTGGGTGAGCCAGAAGGAAACACAAAGAGATGAGCTAATTCTGAATGATTCAATCTGGAGGGCTGCAAATTTGAGCCCCTCATCTAGGCAGGAAGTGCCTATTTGGGTAGCATAAATAAGATCAGAAAGAATTTAACATCAATGTTGCTGTTCGTAGTATGTTTAGGTGTGTGTCATGTATGTGTTTCACTTTGAGAGCGGGCAACTAAATTTCATTTTTGATGTGTGCCGTTGTGCCCGCAGTAAAAAACATGACAATAAAGGTTATCTTATCTTATCTTATCTCTAATCCTGATGGATATTTTAATAGCTCTTCCTATTTACTTTCCTTCACGTTATTTCAATAGATGTATTGTCAGCCCTCCCAGCTAAACCAGACAGGAAACGCAACCAGATGAGCTAATTCTACCTTATTAACAGAATTTTGCAAATCTGAACATACAAACTTCCTGAAGCTTCTTTTAATGGCTTGCTCCTTCAGGGCTGGTCCTTCCTTAGTTTCTCCCTCTGACTGGGGGGGCTCCTGACCTGGTCGGATGGCTTCCTGGACATCCTCTCTTGGCCCGCTTCCCCCAGGGTCACCCCCATGTTCCCTTCACTCCCCAGGAGTGTCCTGTGCTGGTCTCTGGCCACACAGAGATTCCCAAGGACACACAATGCCTCCTGGGAGGCCGGCTCAGCCAGCCCTGGCAGCCTTTCAGATTTCACCCAGCCAGTTCCTTCCCCCGGATAATCAAAGTGGGGCAAAACTACCGAACCCCATTCCCTGCCTCATCGCCCCAGGAGGAGGCCCCGGAGAACCCAAGAGAGTATTAGGTTGGTGGGGGCTTCCTGGAGAGCCCCTTCCTTCACCGTTGGCATCGGAGGCAGCAGAGGCTTCAGCAGAGCAGCAGCCCCCATGCAATGCCAGGGCTGTAGGGCAAACGTCCCTGAAGGGAGCTCGGACAGGAGATTAGGGCTACAGGCACAGCTGCGTATTTCAAACCCCCTCCCCGTGCATCAATCTCAGGGGTGGTGGTGGAAGGTGGGGGACACAGATCCATACAGGGTCCTGTCTGCTTAATGCACTATCAGGAGGCCTGTCTCCTCTCCAGGGTCTGTGAAACGTGGCCGGTGGGGGGGGGGAAAGCAGAGGGCTGCCAGCTCCAGGCAGAAAAAGGGCAACGCAAGATTTGCTTTACGTATTAGATCAGGTCACCCCCACTGGATCAGCCCCCATTAACACCATCCCCGTAATGAGGACACTGGCTTCTCTCCCTGAGCTCTGGTCCTAGGCCTTTGACCCTTGCCAGGGATGTCCCTCTGTCCATGGAGCTGCCTGCCTCTCTCTGGGCAAGAGAAACTATGGCCAGCTGTGTGTTTGTCTGTCTTAGCTCTCTTGCTACAACTCTTTGGTTCCTGTGTCGAAGAAGGAAGCCAGCAGCCATCGCTCAGAAGTGAACTGGACACGGCAAGTGGACCATGACACAGGGGAGGAAGCAGGTGGAATTTGGGGAGGTGCGTGCCAAGGAAGAGACATCCAAGGGGAGAAATGACAGCAGCTTTCCCAAGTCAACTGTCGAATCTGCTCCAGCCAATGCTTAGGAGTCTCACATACACACACGCATGCACGTGTGCACACACACACACACACAACTTACCGGGGTCCCTTTCTCACCCGCAGGGCCAGAGGGCCCTTGGGGTCCAGGACGTCCTGGCAGACCAATTGGGCCAGCTGCTCCCGCAGGACCTCGCTCCCCTGGAGAGCCCTAAGAAGGAAGAAGGAAGTTAGTGAATACACGGCTAACAGAAGGCAAGGACCCCAAGGAAAGGAGGCAGAGTAGAGCCGGTGGCTTCTTTCTCGTGAAGCCTTCCACAGGGGTTGAGACGGACTGGCCACGATTCCATCCATGCTACCCACAGTAGCTATTCTGACGAATGGGAACATCTGGGGGGTCACGGCTGCCATTCTGCTAAGCTACGCATTGCAAGCTGACAGCCTGACATCAGTAACGGGGGGGGGGAGGGAGCAGTGGGGGTTGAGACGCAGGGAGGGAACTTAGATAAATGGAAATCAAGCCGTTCCGTCCCATGAGAAGCACCAGCCGTCTCAAGGTCACACCAAAAGAACTTGGAGCCGGCCAGCGCCCGAAGACAGGGACCGTTTCCCAAACAATTTGTTAACTCCTGATTGGACATTGAGTGATAATCAGGGGGCTGGCTGGGACCAAGGAAAAGTTAATTGTATCTTTTGCGCACGGAAATCTCAGATCCAGCTTTGTCTCTACTGTAACCACTGTGGCTTTAGTAAAGTGTACTTTTGGCTAATCGTGGGCCAGGAGTCTTTCTTTCCTAACTGACCGAGTTGGGACGGTTGACAGGGGCTCACGGTCAGCCAGATTGCTGACTTGGGGCAAACCTGGATTCTTTGCAGAAGTGAACAAGCCTTTCAAAGCCCATCCTGGAGGACCAGGGGCCCTTGGTGAAACACATCCCCCAAACTGGATAACGGTCTCAGTTCCTTCCAGGTGTGCCAGTCGATGACAGCATGGGGAATACTGTTCTGCCAAGAATACAGTCCAGGTGGTCTCTGTTGCCCCCAGAAAAGCCTCCCCAGCATTACTGCCTATTGCAGCCGCCAACTTTGAAATCTCATCCAGTGAAGCCCGAGGTAGAGTACCAAGAGCACGGAGAGGACAGAAGAAGCGCCACAAGTAAATCCCAAGAAATGCAACATTTATAGGATCACCTTCTGACTAATGAACAGAGCCGTATCCAGGGTGTGTGGGGGGGTGGGGAGGTGAGGCAAGATGGTGGGTGCAGCATACAGGGCAGGTCCTCCCCGTCTGTATGCATGGAGGAAGCTTGCAGCATGACAGAGCATGAACCCTCTTGCCTTTTTCCAGCCCCCCTCAGGTCCCATGGCTGGACAGGGACAGACTAGGAAGAGTTTAATTGCTGCAAAGAAACCCTCAAAGAAAGAGCAGGAGCACCGCCTGGGCCTCTCCTGTGTCTTCGGTGGGTCTGGCCAGGTTAGAGAGATCCTTAGGAGAAAGGATTGGATTGAGGCTTAAGGGAAAGGACAAACACCAAAGGAAAGACTCCCCAGCTAAGGGCCAAAGAAGCACATGAGGGCACCGCCAGGTGGGGACCGAATGAGAGAAACGGATAAACCTCTGAATCCTCTCAACGGCAAGGGGGGCAGCTCGTGGTGGGGGGGCCTTCTGCCCCACTGAGCCCAGGCAGGATCCGGGGCAGGAGATGAGCTCCAAGGTCAGCAGCCGCAGGGCGGATGTGGGCAAGCAGGCAGCCCAGCCCCCCTTCTCCCCCCTGGCCTTGCAGGTGGAGGCCCCCCAAAGGCCCCCTCCTTTTCTCCAGCCAACAGGGAACAGCAAGGGCTGAAAGACCCAAACCGCCCAAGCGGGTCTACCCCACCCTCCACACACAGAGAGCAGCCAGAGACAGGCGGTACTTACTGCTGGTCCAGGAGGCCCCGGGGGCCCTTCGTTGCCCTTCAGCCCCACAGGTCCCTGCAGGGGAGGAAGGCAGCGTCACTCGCGTGCAAAGGCACCACAAAGGCTCAAAGGTGGCAGGAGGGGGAGAAAAGCTCTCAACTCACAACTGGGCCGGGGAGTCCTCGGTCGCCGGGGAAGCCTCGGAAGCCGGCTGGGCCATCTTTCCCGGGCAAGCCGGCCGGGCCTGGGTCACCCTGCAAGCAGGACCAGGGGTCAGAGCGCCAGGCAGCCAAGCCCTCCCTCGTCCCCCAGGGCCCGCCCAAGAGGAATGCCGACTGGCGGTCCCAGATGGTATCCAAGCCTGGCACAACCGACATTTTACAAGCTCTGATGGTAGAAGAGGCAATGCCAGCAGAATCCCCTCCCCTTCCGATTCGTCCGGTAATCTTGTCTGTGATGAGAATAGATCTGAAAACAGATCTAACCCATAAAGGGAATCTGTCTTTGGGAAGAAGGGACTCTGCCCTGGCCACTCAGGAGGGCAGAGTGCTTTCCCACCGCAAACATGTGCGTGAAAAGGCTCGCGCCTGCATCGCTGTGACAGTCTCCAGACAGTCCCAGAGCCGAGGGCTCTCTCAGAATCCTGGGAGGGAGGCGGTCATCAAGGCCACACCACCACCACCCCTGCCCAGCATAGGAGCTCCATCTTAGCCCCCTGGGAGAGGCTGCAATGACCAGCAATGGAGGCCCACAGCCTCCCTGGGACATGAAAGGTTCTCTTGAGAGCCAACCAACCAATGTTCGGGAATTCTTGGCTTGTTCTAGACCGTTCTCCCAAAGAAAGAGCCAGCCTCTCCCACACTTCAGTCCCGAATCCCTCCAGACGTATAACATTAACTTGCTAAAACTAAGGTCTTCTCCCACCCGGGGTGTCTTCCCGGTCCAAGGCAGGCGATACCTTTGTTCCTTCTTTTCCAGCCAAGCCAGGAAGTCCCTGTTCACCGGGGGGGCCGGGAGGGCCCGGATGGCCCCGTTCACCCATCGGACCCGTTTCTCCTGTGGGGCCCTGCAAGACATGGGGAGGCACCTTCAGGACAGGCGTCCGGAAACCTAATTCCATCAAAAGAGGGGATCTGGGGGCAAGTCGGGGGGAAAGCCCAGGAGAAATACACGAACCAGTCATCAGACAGAGACAAGCCACAAAATCCGCCTCAGACTGAAGTGCAAAACAGCCAGTTTGTTCTCCCGCAAGTCAAGCTTAATTCTATCGATGGGATATTAGTGTCTTTCTACACCTTGAATCCTCGATCTACTCAATCGCCTAATTCACATAACGAGCAAAGTGAGTTAACAAATCACAAGGCATATTATGTGATGTCTACAGAAATAAACCACCTTATAGTTTAATGTGAAAGCCTGGTTCAAACCACCAACCAAAGACACTAACTCAGTACCCACAGTACATTGAACCACAACCCGTTTTGAGCTTGGCTGAGCAGGTTGTGTGGACAGACCTTCTTGCTCTCTGCCCAGTGGGGAGTCTCTGCCAACTGGCACTCCCAGTCCTGCGTAGCTGCCTACGTATTTTCAAGGGCTATGCTGTTCCTTCCTCTTTGGAGCCAAGGCCTAGCTGTAGGCATCAGCCCAGAAGAAGTATTTTTCAGGAGTTTGGGCCTGGATCAGGCCCACCGCTCACCTCGCCAATACCTACTGTTCTGCAACGGCCAACTGAATGCATTGGGGAAGGTTGCAAGCTGTGCTGGGTACCAAGAGACTCTCCCCTGTTGCTTCCCATCTACCAGTGTTGCCACTGGTCTGCTGGTGCCTAGGACTGGGGAAGTAGTTACACAGCCCCAGAGAGCCCAGGGCTTCCACAACCTCCCCAGACCCTGTTTAAGACCATCCAAACTGGCTGCCCCGAGGGCAAGCAGCTAATTTGTGCTTGATTATACCCTGTAATGAAAGCATATCTGCTTCTGTTGCTTCTGAACCTCCACCCATCCTGCTACACAGCTCAAACTCCTGCCCAGCCAGGAGCCAGGGATCCAGACAGCACAGGAATCTCTCATCTCAGGGTGTCTGGAAAGGGCCACATTAACCTCAAGGGCTGAAGACCCTTCCGGCTGTTGACCCCTTCCCCTCTTCTTAGCCGACTTGTGAGCTCCATCTGCAGCACCAGGCTCTCTCTGAATAAGTGAGAGTTGCTCCCATCATGCCAGACGAGTCTTCACCACACCTTCTGGAATCCTGGGATGATCTGGGACAGTCTTAGGAAAGCATTCTTCTTATTTCTATAGGAGTTATTAATAGACTGAAGCCCGGAGCCTGAAGAGATGACGATATAGGTTGCTGCTCCGGCATTTTTGAGCGTCTGCCAATGCTGCCCCCTTCCAGGAGGGCAAGACGGAAGGAGCGATCCAAGAGTTCCAGGGCCTGGACAGGCCTCCCACTCTGAGCCCCTCCACCTCGTAAGCCAGGTTTTCCTCTCCATGGGCAGGGAGGCCCCAGAGGTCAGTGGGGAGTTTCCTAGAGGGCAAAACGCTGGCCCATAAGTGGCCTGCTTGTTGCTTCTTAACAGCCAGCAAAAACCCAGGCTTGGGCAGGAAGAGAGGCCAGTTCAGAGGAGGCCAACAGCAACCTCTGAGAACAGATCAGCTGTTAAAATGAACTTGAAATAAAACTGCAGGACTGATTAAAACCTTTCTGTGAAATACCTGTGTCTCTCTTAACTGGAGCTGGTGAAGCAAACTCACATTCAGGGTTTGCAAACCATGTTTCACAGGTCAGTGGGAGAACTTGCAGCTGCATTCACATGTCATGCAACATTTGGGTGGCATTCCCCCTTCTCCTTTTCCTGTTTCTGGAAATTACACTAATTACGTTTTAGCATTTCCAAACATAATTAGCAGGCAGTAGACTTTTATACCTCAGAAAGCAGACAGAAACATGTTATTTACCATGCGATACCGAATTTAAACTGTCATTAATCTGGCAGAGTTTCTACAAATTAGAAAGTAATTGGAGAGTCAACAGATCTCCTACAAAGCTGGAAAAAAAGGAATTTTGACCAGAGAATCTGAAAGGTTCCTGGGAATGACTCACCTGTGGACCAACAACACCTGGAGGCCCAGGTGGACCCGTCTTCCCTTGGAAGCCCTGGGAAAAGAAGACAGGGTTAATTAAAGGGCAAAACAGTGACAGACCATGTATTGTAACACATAATGACAGGATCTCTTTGGAAGAGTGAACACTGCCAAGGGAAGGAAGGAAGGAAGGAAGGAAGGAAGGAAGGAAGGAAAGGAAGGAAGGAAGGAAGGAAGGAAGGAAAGGAAAGGAAAGAAAGAAAGAAAGAAAGAAAGAAAGAAAGAAAGAAAGAAAGAAAGAAAGAAAGAAAGAAAGAAAGAAAGAAAGAAAGAAAGAAAGAAAGAAAGAAAGAAAGAAAGAAAGAAAGAAAGAAAGAGAGAGAATCTGGATATTCAAAAGCCAGCCAAAAGCAAAGAGATTGCCAAAGGCTAAAAGTGGAAATGCTGAAAGCCAAGGAAGGCAGATGCAGTCCCTAGAAGGGGTGAAGGTTGTCTGCTGAGAACAGGGACCTTGTCTCTTACGTATGTAGCTGCCCATCTACCTGGACAACTTTGGCCCACTAATCCTGCCCTGGAGGAGTCAGGAGCCCCAGCTGGCATCCCGGAGAGAGGCAATGGACACCCCTGGTCCCCCAAAAGGCAACCAAGGCTGCCGGGAGGGTGGTGGTTCTCCTCCCTTTTTACTGCTGCCATAAAAATGCCCCAAATATGCTACTCCTATTTTGCTACCTACAAAGAATCCTATGGGGAGGGGGCTTCAAGTTAGCCCAAGGCATCTTCCTTCGGGGCAAGACAGAACTCCAAAACATGCCAGTCTGTGAAAGGAGGATATAAAAGCCATTAAGATGTTTTGCAAAAAGAAAAAACCAATATGAAAAATGTGGAGCTAAAGAGTTGACAGAATAAGGTGTCCATTATTCATGCAGGCAGCATTGATTTGGGGGGGGGAGGGGTGTCTCAAGAAGATCCTCAACCCTCTCTCTGGGGAGCCCGGCACTGTCAAAGCAGCCAGAGGGAGCAGGAGCCAGACGCTGGAGGGCTCAGGACAGAGGTGGTGGTCCTGCTGGAGGAAGGAAGGACAACGGCCCTGCTCCGTCAAGGAGGAAGGACTTGATGAGTCCCCCCATTTATATGAATTAGAAGACAGCAGAGCTTGAAAGTCTGATCAGTAAGGAGAAATTTTCTGACAGTGAGAACAATTAATCAATGGAATAGCAATTAGCAATTTAGCAATTAGACTTATATATTGTTTCACAGTGCTCTTACAGCCCTAAGCAGTTTATAGAGTCAGCCATGTTGTCCCCAACAATCTGGGTCCTCATTTTGCTGTCTTCAAGCTGGGCAGGATCAAACTCCTGGCAGTGAGCATTGAGTTAGCCTGCGATACTGCATCCTAACCACTGCGCCACCAGAGTGCTTGCCTCCAGGGCTTGTGAGTGCCTCATCACTGGAGGATTTCAAGAACAGATTGGGCAGCCATTTGACTGGACGTTTTAAGACTCCTGCCTTGGGAAGGTCCCTTTCAGTCCTGATTCTATGCTGTATGTTCTTCCTGCCATGAGAACAGCCTCATTTGAAAATGCTTTCTCTAGGCTTTCTACAGCTGCAGGGGGAAAGGGCTGACAGTCCCCCGGAGCGCTCCTCCCCCTTCAACAGGTCCCTCAACATGCAAAGATCAACTCGTCCATCAACTCTTTGGGAGGAGACACAAAGAGGGAGCAGAGCCTCCAGGGGTATAAGGGTGAAATAACCTGAAGCTCAAGTGCTTTTTCCACCCCAGAGAGTGTTTGATCTAGTCTTGCTTCCTGAATATTCCAGGGCGCCATAGCCCAGGCAAGCTTCAGGGACGTCCCCTGTGCTGTGAAACCCAGGAAAAATAAGGAAGCCCTTAAGATGGGAGGCTGAAGTGATGCTCTCTGGGTGGGGGGAAGCTGAGGGGTTCAGTGGCCCCATTTGACAGAGCTGGCGGGGATCTGTCGACTCCAGAACAATGGAGTTCCTGGTGAGGGAAGAAGCACAATCCCAGATCCCTCCAGGAACTCCTCCGCTGGCTTTAGGCAGAGATTGCACAGCAAACAGGGTATGTGTGCATAGCACCATGTTTGCTGATCAATATATTGAGCAGGATGTCAGCCGAGAAGCTTCTCTCCCCTGTTGCTCCCTTTCACAGCAAGACCTGCCGGATCGATCCCGCACAAGGCACCCGGAGAAAAGCGGCCATATTGATTTCAGAAGCAGAACAAGCACAAAGCGCGCCAAGAAAACGTGCTTGACACGTTATAGACTTTTGTGGTCAGGAAATGTTCGTGTCAGATGTCACAAGATGTTGGAGGCTGGGAAAGGCTTTCCTCAGAAGTAAACATTTGTCGAATTGGGAGGATGTCATTGAGAGGAATAGCAATATTTTAACAACGGCTCCCAAGCAGTGACCAAAGTTCTTTCTCCCCCCACGTCTGCCCACAAATCCTGAACGCAGCCCCCAACAGCTGCTCCCGGTACCAGATTGCCCTATTTAATTTCCAGGGAAAGAAATGGCTATCCATGTGTAACGAATGTATTAATTAATGTAATAAATTGAAAATGAATTCAATTTAATGTTGCCTTTTCCGGCTCAAAGGAGGGGGACTCTCAAGGTCCTTGGAGAGTCCGTTTTGGAGGAAAAGAGAGGGTCAAACTCTGCTGCTTTGGGTGGATGATGGAGGTGGCCAGAGACCCATTGAGCCCCTCTGAATGCCTGGAGAGAAATGTATGAAGCCGCCACCAGAAGGAGGTTTATGTTCTTCTTTAAGGCTTCTTGCACTGGCCTTTCTGTCCAAGACCCTGGATGAGCCACATCGGATACTTGGAGAAGGAGGCCGGGATCTTTGGGGATGGGAAGGCTCCAGGATCGAGCAGCATCCTTGTGCTGGTTCCCCAACTCTTAAACATTTCTGGAAACTTCTTAAAAAATGCCTTAGTGTTGTGTGTGTGGGGGGGAAGAGGGGAGAAGGTGTACAAGGTGTACTGGTCAGTGGCCTTTTCCTTTCAGCAGCTTTGTCAGAATCCAATTATATTTCATCTCTAGTTATCAACTATGGAAAACCCCATTTCTGCTCTCTCTGGATTCTGTCATACTACGAAGGGGAAGGGGGATGAGCAAAGGTGTTTTATGTCTCTCACTTCCTTCCTTACAACTTCAAAGGGACTGAATGTGGATCGCACCAAAAGGACTGATCATAACAATAGGGCCCATCAGCTTTCATCTACTCCTCTCTGAAGTTTCCCTTCTGCCAGCCGTGAGGAAAAAGGGGGTGGAAATGTAACGCCTGGGATTGTCGCTGGAAGGACAGTGGGGTGGGGGGGCTGCTTGGGACCACTTAAAACCTTGAATGGGAGGACTTGGGCCCCAGGTCCTGTCTAGAACGCATGCAACCATCTTCTCTTAATAAAGATGCCTGTTGGAAGGAATATTCCAAGAGTTCTGTCTTCTTAAGATGCAAAGTGGGCTGGGTCCTTACAAGCTTTCTCTTTCCTAAGATGGGTCCCTTGGGATAATCTGACCAGGGACTCAGAACCTTTGGGGTTGCATTTCAGTATGAATTTAGCACTTCCTGAATCAAAACACGTAATTTGGAGCACTGCTATCCACTGACATATGCACTTTCTGAATGTTTCCAGGGCATTTCTGTGGACAAGGAACATATTAAATGCTGCTTGAGAAGAAATCTCCACATCTATTGCTTTTTCTCTTTCTCTCTAGATTGTCCGGCCTCCGAAACTTGGAGGTTTCTCTGGAGACGGAGATTGTCGCCAAGGGTCACTTGACCAGATTGTTCTGCTTGCCTGGTCCTAACCGAGGGGGCAGAAGGGGGCAAGGAGGCTGGTGCAAGGAGGGGAAGAGAAAGTCTTGCTTAGTCAGATGCAGACCTAAGAAGGACCTGCTTAGTCAAAAGAGAGAGAAAAAGCTCCTCCTAGATCCATCAAAAATGGTGAAAACGTCAAAGGACTGACCGTTTCGCCTCTCTGCCCAGGATGGCCTGGCAATCCATCTTTTCCCGGAGGACCCTAGAGAGGAAACAGGATCTTCAGTAAAAAACTGAAAGTATTCAAGGTAATGATGTCCTCACATGCAGCAGATCAGATTCTGCACTGAGTTTCCTTGAAGTCCATTGCAGCCTGGAGAGACCTGGGCAAGCAGAGGCCACTCTCTCTCCCGGGCCTTTTCCTGCTCTTCGCGGAACTTACCGGGGGCCCTTTTGGTCCAGGAAACCCGGTTGGTCCTTGAGGGCCTGGAGGTCCCTTAGGGACAAAGAAAGACAAGGGTTAGGGTTGCTAGCCTGCACGGAGGGAGCAATTCCCCACCCTTCTGCCTTGGCAGCATTGATACCGAGCAAGAAGTCCCGCCCCGTCTTTCTATCTGAAGCATAAATTGGGGCACATCTGTTCAGCCACGGCTTGCTTGACCTTACCCTTTCACCTGGAGGTCCCGGAGGTCCGTCCCCACCAGAATTGCCCTAGGAAGGTAAAAAAAGAGAATTAAAACAATAAATGATCAGTTCAGTGCCAATAAGCCATTACCCTCCGGTCATCCTGGACACTAAAGGTTGAGACTGGCAGACGCTTAGGATCATTTGGGACAGGTTTATTCTTTGCCCCTTATCTTGGGGGGTAAATTTTACCGGGTGGAGAGGTTGACCACAATGTGTGTGAAGGTCCGGCTTTCCTAATACTCAGCCTGGCCCCTCCCAGCAGAGGCCTGGAGTTGAGACATCACTCGGCGGCAGGGAAAAAAACTACACAGGAGCAGGCGAAAGGGAAAGTAGCCTGCAACCCCTTTGAACAAAACACCGGCGCTCGCATAATTTGCACTCAGGATCTCATGCATCTGATGAGAATGGCTTCAGCTCCTCATTTGGCTTCTGCTCCTCCAGAGCTTCCCATCGCTCGGATCCTATCTAAGTTGTCATCTTGCACTAAGCTCCTGTGTGGCATCAGATCACAGGGTTTTAAAGGACCAGTTAGTTAACAAAAAATACCCCCCAGAAGCCCCACTGCTGCCCCTCAGACCCAGTCAGGATGACGGGCTATCAGGCGCTTGGCAAACCCTTCCCTCCGTGCTGCACCTGGACTTGGTTCCTCGGCATGCCCAGCTGCCCAGGAGCAACTTTCCCCCCTCAGGGCATTCCACCCAATTCCCATGGGAGCCCTGGGATTCTGCTCGAGAGACCCTGACGGAGAAGAAGGAAGCAGCCCCCCACCCACCCAACTGTGATGGCATTTGTTTACGAAATTCATTTTCCACTCATTTCATATTCGACGACTCTGGGCAGCTTGCAACATAAAAAGGGTATCCTGGGACCCTCCTAGAAGGCACGCTGGGAGCTCCAGTCAGGAAAAGGAACCCAGTTGCGCTGTCTGGGACCGGAGAGTTGCCATGCGGACCTTCTCTGCCGGGCTTCCTCCCCAGAGAATTTTCAAGGGCGACCGTCTATTTCACAGCCCTCCCAGGGAGATGCAGGCATGGCTGGGAAGCCAGAGCGGAGGCTTCTGGGCCTCTGAAGGAGGCCTCAGCCCTCAGCCCACCCTCCAAATAGGCAGACAAGGCTGGTTCTCTCCATGCTCTCCCCTTCCCTTCTAAGCGAGGGGAAAAACCTGTTTTGGATGATTAGGGAAGGGGGAAAAAGCACTGGGAACTGGGAGAACAATCAGCCAGGGAGCGCCTTGCCTTCAGAAGCTGTGAGTGCCCCATCACTGGAGGTTTTCTAGAAGAGACAGGACAGTCATTTGTCTGGAATGGTTTACCAGTGTTTCTCAACCTTGACAATTTTAAGGCATGTGGACTTCAACTCCCAGAATTCCACAGCCAATGTTAAAAGTACTCTGGCAATGTTAAAAGTACTGTTGCAGGATGTAAACTGTTCTGAGCGAAGCTGCCTTTTGCAACTGAACGAGGGCAATTTCGTCAATGCGGATGGTGTTCCAGTGGTGCTCCCCACGTTTTGGGATTGCACGATCTTTTGCTTTCTTTTGCCGTTCTACTTGCAGATCTCTGCATTTTGTCATTTTCCCCAGTTCTTCTTCTGCCGTCTCCAAGTTATTATTATACTGAAACCCTTACAGTCCAGGCTGAAGTGACCAGGAATGGTGGACCACATTCTCCAGGATGAGTCACCCTCCCTCAGTCTCTTTCTGCAAGCAAAGGGAAGCTCCAGACCGGCCCCAGGACTGAATTGGCACCGGGAAGAGAGTTTTTCAGTACCTTCGGACCAGGCTTCCCTGTGATGCCTCGCTGGCCGCGTTCTCCTCGGGGACCCTGGAGAGCAGACAAGGAGGAGGGGAGGTCAGTGCGAAGGGAGGGGGGAAAGGGACGCATTCAACAGCTCTTTCCTTCCCAACTCAACATTATGTTCGCTTCCTTTGTCTCAGGAGGCGTTCAGCTTAACATGAAAATCTAACATGTAAGTTTGAATATATTTTTATGCATGTTTTTGTAGGCATGCAATTTCTGGGTTTATGCAATTTCTGCTCGTTCTAACCCAGCATGCCCTCTTCCCCTCCTGGTTACTTGGCATTGTGCACTGCCAAGTTGGGAACTCGCTTTGTGGCTGTGCCACTTCTGCACTCTGCAAAGGGTCAGGAATTTGAAGTGGGCAGGTTCTCTTTAAAAAGTGACCTATGGGCCCTTGTCCACCGACATGCAGCCCTCGACATGGTCCGGACTGCCTGGGCCTTGGGCAGCAACTCCGGAGCAAGGGGGAGGAGGAGGAGGGAAGGGAAACATCTCTTCTTACCGTGGGTCCTCGCTGTCCTCTGGGTCCCGGTTTGCCAGCGGTGCCCTGCGAACCGAGAGAAAAAGCAGCTGGGAATCTGCCTTAGGCAGGACCAGAACCCGGTAACCCAGTGCCTTAACTACAGGTAATCCTCGATTTATGACCATAATCAAGCCCAAAATTTCTGTTGCTAAGTGAGACATTTGTTAAGTGAGTTTTGCCCCAATTTCTTGCCACAGTTGTTAAGTGAACCCGGCTTCCCCCACTTGATTCTGCTTGTCAGAAGGTTGCAAAAGGGGATCACGTGACCCTGGGACGCAGCAACGGTCATAAGTATGAACCAGGTGCCCAGCATCTGAATTTTGATCACATGATCATGGAGATGCTGCAAAGGTCGTAACTGTGAAAAATGGTCATGTCGCATTTTTCAGTGCCGCTGTAACTTTGAATGGTCACTAAATGAATTGTGGGTAAGCTGAGGATTACTTGTGCTAGACCAGGGGTAGGCAACCTTGGCTCTTTTATGACTCGTGGACTTCAACTCCCAGAATTCCTGAGCCAGCTATGCTGAGGAGAAAGAGGTTTCCAAGCTGAGCCATGCTGGCTCAGGAATTCTGGGGGTTGAAGTCCACCAGTCATAAAAGAGCCAAGGTTGCCTACCCCTGGCCTAGACCAAGCCAGCTGCAACACTTCATTCCATTCTTCCAGAATTTTATTCAGTAACTGCCTCACTCTGACTCTGCCACCTCTTGGGACCCCTTCCTGACCTTCAGCCTGCCCCACAGCCAGGATCCTACCTTAGACTGACCACTTCATGTTGGCTTGGTTGCAGCCAGTTTCCCAATATCCCCCCCTCCCCAACCAGTGAGAGAGACCCTGCATGGCTGATGTTCAAGAAATAAAAACTATGCAGCAGGGGGGAAAAGTGGGGGATAAAAGAATGGAAACACAGCCTTGCTTCTTCTGTTCTCGAGCTTTGTAAATGAAATTGAGACAGCAAAATATTAACACGCTGAAAAACAATATCTCCAGCAGTCCTACCGAGCAGGCCTGTTACGGTAGAAGTAATCTGTATTTAAATGAGGTGAACAAAAGGAACTTTGATGCCAGAACTGAGCAGACTGGATTTGCTCTGATAACTGCGCAAGCTACTTGCTGGAGCCCTTGATCTTGGTTGATAAGAACAGCTGGCCTTCAGAAGTTGTGGCTGCTCCAACATTGGAGGCTTTTAAGAAGAGACTGGACAGCCACTTGTCTGAAATGGTCTAGGTTCTCCTGCCTGAGCAGGGGGTTGGACTAGACGACCTCCAAGGTCCCTTCCAGCTCTGTTATTCTGATTCTGATTGATCTTCTCTAATTGCCAGGAATACCCGGCTCTTGCTTAGAGGACTGGGAACACAACATCCCTTCCCAAAGCCACTGGAAGTGGCCAGTTCAGGTGCATCTCCTTCTTTATCATTCTTACGCCCTCCGCTCTGCCGGCCCCACCCAAGGGCACCCCTGGGCACTGGTGAAACATGACCTTATTCTGAATATGTTCTTATTTTCTTACTGATTTTGTTTCCTTTCAAAGTTGTTAATATTCTGGAACAAACTAGTCAGTATTGCAAATATGGCCAGAAATCCCTCCATTCTGTGCCCCTCTGGCAGATTCTGACATTGATTCATTCTCACCCACGAAGACAAGATCTTTTTATGGCAGGAGTTAAAGAGAAAGAGATGACTGAGATTCTGGAGTGGAATCCAGGTCTACTTTATGGGTGGGTGAGGTGACTGGACCACCTCTGTCATAAAGTTTGGGAGACCCTCTGCAGACCCTCCTGGTGCTCTCTGAAGCCCTGCTGGCTTTTGCCCCCAGTGGCTGTGACCGGGTTACTCTTTTTCCCTTTTAAGCGTTAACCGGAAGAAAGAAGCATTTTAGTTAATTAAAGGAGGTTTGTGTGGCTTTGTGGCTTTTGCTTTTTGTTTGCTTTGTTTTGTTTTGCAGAGGCAAATTTACGCCTTGTCCAAACTACCCTATATCCTGTCTTCAACGGCAGAAATAATCACTGCAGAAAATGTAAAACCTGGCGAGCAACAGCCGGTGGAAGAGATCTCCCGGAAGCCCCAGACAAAGCCCCAGCCTCTTACCCTTCCTCCTTTCTCTCCGTTGGCTCCGGGGAACCCTGGAAATCCAATGGAGCCCTAGAGGAAAAGGAAGCAGAGAAGAAAGGAGATGGAGACGCAAGCGGAGAGGACGTGACGGTTGGAGAACTCAGTTCCCTGGAACCATTGCGAGCTCCTTAGGGTGGATGGTTCAAAAGAGAATCCAGGATTCAACAACGGTCATCCTCGGCTAGTGAACCTCATGCCTGGAAAAAAGAAATACCTGGATGCCCAGCCTTCCTTCAGCCCCCTGGAGTCTGCGCTCACCCCAGGCCAGATTGTCCCCTCTCCCTCACAGCCAAATGGCAGTAGAGATGGGGGGTGGGCAGCCTGCAGCAGGCTGAAAGGGCCAAATGGAGCTGGGCAAACCGCTCTGGCTGACCCCTCATTGAGCCCCTGCAGATGGCTTGTGTGGCAAGACTTGGACCAGAGAAGAAATGAAGGGGACATCAAGGCCCTTCCCTAGCAGTTGGGCATGAGAGGGAGTCAATGGCATGAGCCAATGGCCATTAGTGACTTTGTGCTTCGGGACAATCCTCTCTGTGTCAGAGGGACCCTGAGATGAACCTTAGTCAGTGGATAGGGACTTCCTCCACCTCCTCTTTCTCTTCCTCTCTTCCTCTATTTAAGAAGAGAAAATGCAGGACTTGCTCAAATGAAACCGTTCATCATGCAAACTGGGCCATTGCTTTATAGATCTGTCTTGTTCGCAATTTTCCACAATTAATGGCCTAACAGCATGCATGGAGAACCACCGAGGCAGAAGGGAACGGGAGAGTTCACTTTGCTATAACTTTGGCACAAGGATGGTTGGGGACTAGAAGGGTCCCAAGGGAGGACTCCCCCCCCCCCAGGCAGTGGAAGCGCACGGCAGGATGGACGATGCTGGCAGCAAAGGCCTCTCCTGGAAGGGTCAGGACTGCCCACGGTGGTTGCTCTGCTGGAGCCTGGAGTTGATGAACCTGCTTCACGCCGGTGCTTCTCCTCTTACTAAGATGAGCTTTTATGATGCTTGCATCCGTTTTTTCCAGATGGGTGAACTCAAGAGATTCTGGCTTGAGTGAAGCATCTTCCAAAGGAAGTTCTAAAATGGGTAAGTTTAGCCAGGGATCTAAGAGAGGCTGCAGTGAGGCTCAGTGAGTCGCCTCGGAGTCAAATGCCCCCTCTTGCCCCTTTATACCGTGTATTTTGTGGGACATTTCTCTCCTTCCTTAAAAAGAGCACAGAAGCACAAGAAAGGCAAGACCTCCGAAGCCCTCAGCGCCTGGAAGGGGCTGGAGGGCTCTGGGTAAAATGCTCACCCTGCCTCTCAGACCCAGACAGACAGGCGGACAGAAACATTAATTAATTCAGACATTGGCCAATCAAAGTACATTCCGTAAACTGAACAACACAAAAGTCCCCTCATCACGAGAACGATTGGCAGCCATTGGTGGGTGAAGTTTACACATAACATAGCGCAATTTTGCTACTTTCAGAGAAATAAATTTATCTTGATTGTTTAATAGATTAGTGCAAATAAAAATTATCAGAGCGCCCCAGCACTTTAAATAAAAGAGGGGGTGTATAAATTTAATACATAAATAAAACCAACTCCTGGTGAATATCCCTGTAGAACTGGCAGTGCCGAAGAACGTGGGCCGTGGGGGCTGTGGCTTCTGTGGCACCCGCTTCGCAGGGGCAGCCTCGGGTTCCCTTCCAGGACAGTGTGGGGAGAGCATTAAATCGAGCTAGATCAGGCTCTCCTAATTTGGGAGCTGTGATGTGATATAAATGTGAAGCTGGTTTAGGTACTAACAGTCCGCCTCCTCCAGAGCATCGGCCAGCCTGTCTTGCTCCCTGACCCTCGCTGACCTACTTTGCACGGCAAAGACACACAAGGCCTTCCCGTTCCACCTGGCTGGTTGCACAATGTCTCAGTAAACTCAACCAGCAGCTCACGTGGTTCTAACCTGCAGACTGAAATGGAAATTTATTTACGAAAAGGGCAAACGTTACCTTGGGGCCAAGTCTTCCAGGGTATCCAGGCAAACCAGGAATGCCAAGTTTTCCCTGTGAAAAGAAAGAGAGGTGGAGGATGATGGTGATGATGATGATGGAGAAGGAAGATGGAGAGAACACAGCTCTTCGTTTCTGAAGGTTCATCACCAAGTTAATCCCACGATTTAGCAAATAGCAAAGGTTGAAAGGAATATAAATTCATCCCCAGAATCTGGAGGAATCTTCCAGATCTGGGATTACATTTCCATCCCAAAGCCACGAGGGGCAGAGTCACCAAGTGAGCTTCCATTTGCACCATCCTTGTACCGGGGCAAAGCCTGCAGATAGATCAGGAGTCATTGACCAAACCTGGGAACCTCAGCAAGATTTCTCCAGAGGACGTTGGGAAGCTGGATGAGGCCTGGAGGCTGAGAAAGGATCGGCAGCCTCAGGAACACACCTACCTTTTCTCCAGATGGACCTAGAGGGCCTGTCTCTCCATTGGGGCCACCGCGGCCTTTCGAGCCTTCTGGCCCATCCTCCCCACGAGGACCAGGAGGGCCAATTTCACCCTACCAAAAATTGAAAGTGAGATTACTATTTCTGCCTTTTTAAAAACCCTTTCTGTGTCAGTGTTAGAAGGCACCAGTAACAAACTGCCCGAATCAATGGAGAAGATGGCATCCATGCAGAGTCCACAAAGAATTGAGCCAGACACTCATCAAACAGGCCGGGTTTGCGGAACAGGCTCAACCCAAAAGTCCCTAATCAAAGTTAACTTTCATCTGTGTGCTGTGCACATAAAGCCACTGGGTCTTTGTTGACCTCAGGGAAGATCCGTGTGAACCCACGATTTGCTTTCTGGGAACTAGAGAAAAGATTCCTGCTCAGTTTCAGACAGGATGAATGAGGACCACATCATCAGACCTTTTCTGCCCCCGATTCCTCTTTTGGAAGAGCTGGAGACGCTCTCAAGGCTCCTGCTGCATTGAGAAGCTGTTTCAAGGCAAACTCATTCTTCCGAAGGACCTTCTCTAGTGAAGAGCAGGCCAGGCTCAGCTGGACAAAACAGGCAGCTTTGTGTTATGCCTGCAGATCCAGGCTGCCTCTTCCCCCCCCCCCCCGGTCTTTATGCCCAGGTACCCTTTTTTCCAATTACCTGATTTCTAATCATCAGAGTAATGAAAGATCCCTGAAGCCTGGCATGAACCTCAGTCATTTTGCCCACCCCCGAGGGAATGCTCGGTAAGTCCCAGGAGACAGCCAAAGTTAAGAGTAGTTTGGGGGCAGAGGTAAAAGATTTTGGGGAAGGATAATTTTCAAACCATCAACCCAAAGGTTCACTGCACGTTTGCCCAGGCTTGGCAGCGCTCCTCCAATTTCCATCAGTAGCCCTTCCCCCAGCAGTTCCCGCCCTTTGCAGAGGCCAAGCTGTTGCAGAAGAGCCCCTGAGACCTTCTCAAGGCACAAGGCACCGTGCCATGTTCTCGGGCCCAGCGCCCAGGTACCAACAGAGGACTAAAGCATCGTTTCCATGAGAAAGGAGGGAGGGAGGGAGGGAGAGGGAGAGGTGCAGAGCTCCTATCAGCTTCCTCCACAGCCCAAAAGACACCCCGTTCGGTTTTCTTTAGAAGGCACTTGAATAATTTATGTGCTGGTGCTGTTTTGCATGGCACATGTGTTTTTCCAGAAAAGCCGTACAATCTCATTTTCCCTGAAATGAAAATTTGGTATTTTCTGCCCTGGCTGGGTTTTTTTCCATGCAGAAAGGAGCTATTCTGGTATGAGCAATCAAGCAGTCGCTTTATGGGACCCACCAACAAACAATTAGGTCTTTGGTTTTTGGGTTTGTTTTTTTTTAAAAGTTTGGATGGGACTGGCTGAGTTACCCTCTTCCCGATCCCAGGCCAAGAACAGGCCACTTTTGTAAAAAGGGAGCAGGCTGCAATATCGGGGTCGTTGGCTAAGACTGAACAGGGAAGCGGTACTTTTATTAAAAGCCCCCAAATGGTAGATACCAGCCCCACAATTAATGAGTGGGAGGTAAAGCAGCTGAAAGAACACTTCTGGGAGAGCTGCTTGCACTCCCGACTCGCCCATTTCCAAATCCTGTGTCAAGCATAAGTTTGGTCAGTTCCGGGACGATGGGAAAGGGGCACCACTCTCAGCTTAGAAGGCCAGGGGGACCACCGGAGAGCTTTGGGACCAGGCATCCAGAGTTCTCATTTCTGGCCATGGAGAAGAAGTGCCAGAACTCACCCGGTCGCCTTTAATGCCCATGTCGCCTTTGAATCCTGGGAAGCCATCTTCACCCTGCAGGAGAACAAGAGGGACCTTGTTAGGGATGCCCATGGTGCACAACCAACACTTCCTGCCAACACTTCAACAACTGCCCCTCCTTCGCAGGCTCTAGACCACCGGGCCAACTAGCTGGGTGTGACAGAAGGACCTGTGCTTTCACCCTCCGACAATCCAGTTCCCAACCAAGCATTTCAACATTCAGAGCAAGGATGGGCATTTTTTTTTAGATTTCCCACGCTCCCATTTGCCAATTCTGGCTTTTGTGATTTTCACTAAATTCTGGGAAATAAACAGTTGCCATAATCCCACGAGATCTCATACAAAAATTTCAAATCTTGCCAACTTTTGGTGAGATCTCGCAACATTTTAGTAAGTTCAATCACGGCTAGTAATACTTTAATTTGGACAATCGCCGGCTTCTGATTTAGGGAACTCTACCCAGATGGAATCCTGAACAGAGGGCCTTTTGAGATCGTCAGGAAATTCAGGCGATTTCATGGGCCAGGCTCTCTGGACCCAGAGAACACCTAGGGCAGGCTCCCCAGTGGGCTGGCTTCCAACCCTATAGTTACCAGCCAGAATACCTGACGGGAAAGGAGCTACAGTTATAAGGAACACCACACAGGATATGCCTTGTGTAGAAAAAGAGAAATTCTCCCAGGAAGAGGGAGATGTACAATCGTAGGCAGGGGACATGACACAGTGCAACATCTGACCCTCTCTGCTCTGAGAGTGAAAGAGAAGGTGGACTGTATGGATGCTCTCCTATTAGCTCTCTGTGGTTTACAGGGCAAGCCATTTTTCTGAGCTATTTGACTCATCATTCTACCTTTTTTCACTGAAGACACTACCTTCTTAAGAAGGCTCTGGGAAGTTCCTACCTTTAAAGACCATTGCTCAATAAAACTGATTCGCCATCTAGCTCTCAAAGGGTTTGCCACACTGAGGTGAGACAGGTAACATTTGGGCAAGTGCCCAACAGGAAGGAAGGAAAGTCATTTCCAGTGGAACGAATTAGAAGACTTGAATGTCCATGGAGGACATCCTGTTCAAGGTCCTCAAAACCTCCCACCTCCCCCCCCCGCAAATCCAGTGAAAGTTCAGGGAGGGGGGGCTTCCTGCTCTTCTTCCATCAGGAGCCAGGTCTGTCAGCTGGACTGATAAAAGGACGGAGGAAGTCCCAGGGCCAGCCACCAATTACTCTCAGTTGGCCCATTCCACACCAGACTTTTCAGAAAGGACTCCGGGGCCAGCAGTAATAGTTCTTCCGGTCGGCAAAGGTTTCAGCTGTTGCCTTTCAATCGATGGAGCCTCCAGGCCTAAAGCAGGCCTGTCAGGGACCGGAAGGTGGACGCAGGAGCCCAAGAACAACATTGGCCCTTTGCTCCTTCGGCAGCCCCCGGCAGCCCCTGCCTGGTCAGCTCCTCGGTTGATGGGCTGCGGGTCTGGAGAAGGCAGGGCGGGAGACTGAAGGCCGGAGCAAGGCCGGAGTGCTGCTCAACGCTGCTCCTCTTGGGGAGGACATGAGGAGGGGCCACCTGGACAGAGCGCTGCCTCTCCAAACTCGCTCACAGCCAGGTTGTAAAAGCCGCTCTGGAAGCTGCTGCTGCCCATTTCCCGGACAGCCCGACAGGTGTAAATCAAAGGCACCTATTTACGAAAATGAGCTCACCACCATGCAAAGGAGACCCAGGGGGGCTTGTGTTGCCAACCAAACATGGGACCACTGTCCAAAAGAGGGGGGGGGCTCTGCGTTAGAGGCCATTTATATATATTGATGGTTAGGAGCCTCATCAGGCCTCTGCACATTTTAAGGGGTGAGAGGGCTGCGTTTCCTTCTGGGGAACTCTGTACATGAGGAATTGGAGACTTTTCAGCCCCGGGGCAACTTTGTGACCCGCCAGTACTGTGGTCCAACGGGGTGACAAGGGCACGAGAACCGCCAGAAAGCCGGCTTCAATCTCTTTGTTCTTTAGCTTTGTAGATTTCATTTTATTTTGCCCTGTTTCTCTTTAAACCTTTTTTTTTTAAAAAAAAAGATCTTTATGCAAATGCCTATCCAAAAGCATGCGTCTTTTTTCCTAATATATGCAAGCAGTTTTCCCGTGGAGAATGCGTTTTTTGTACTTTGTTTTCATAAATCCGAAACTGCACTTTGGCAACCTAGGAAATCAAGAGAATTCCCTGCAAGGCAAATTCTAAGCCTCATTAAGGCAGAGCCAGTCATGGGCCAAGGCTTCCTGCTTCGCAAGATTCGGCACTTTCTCCAGTGAGGGAGCTACAGAGATGGAGGAAGCACAGAGGTCCTGTTGAATTTCTGCCTGTCGTGCAGCTGCAAACAGACTGAGCCTCCCAGAGCCGGAACCTTCTGGGGAGGCACGGAAACCAGAGGAGGGAAAAGAGGGGAATTCAAACGGAGGCTCACTCACCTTCTCGCCCTTCGTCCCTTTCAAGCCACGGATGCCGTCGGCCCCCTTAAGAGCAAACACAACAACAAAAGTCAGTGAGTTCACCGCTCACATGGCGAGCGGCCCTGGGGCCTGGCAGATTGTCCACCCAAGGATCTCAGCTACAGAGGACGGGACGGCCACATGGAGCCTGATCTGGTGACACCAACTGCCCAGCCCAGTTAATCCACCCAGCCTGGATTCCTCTCGGCCCGAGACAGATCCAGGCTGTCTGATGTACCTGACAACCACAGCTGTGTGATCCACTTTCTGCACTCTCCCTTCCTGCTTCTAGAGGTAGTATCTAGAGATCCTTTGTGGAGGGAGGTGCAGAAAGTGGGGTGAGAGTAGGGAAGCCCTCCCTGTTTTGCTTTCTGGGGCACCAGAGAGGAGCTGTGCAGTGGCTGCTCTTGCCCAGATTGACCTGGCATCCTGGAGCACCTCCTGCAGTGACCCCCACAGTGAGAGGGTTGGGGGTCGGGGGCAAGGAGGCTCACCGGCCTGGGGCTATCAAGAGGAAGAACATTTGTGCAGTGAACAATGTGCAGTAATGTCTTCAGAAACCGGAACAGCCGTCCTCCAAAGAAGACAGTATCTTGTCTTCCGCTGCCCAAGAGGGTGGGCTTAGATGCAAAGGGGGGGTGGATTTGGGTTGCAAATTAAGAGACAGAATAAGAGGAGTTAGACAGAGAAGGCTGCCAGCCGGGCAGCGGAGATATTTCTCTTTTGCTTTGACTGGACTCTTGATCTCTCAGGAGACTGCTAGTCTTGTGTCAACATCCCCTCCCAATCCCCTTGTCCTCAGCTCAAGGGGATTGTCTGGGTCTCTTTGCAGCCCAACTAGATGAAGGAAGGCCATGACTGGAGGGGGGGGGGAGGTTGGGCCTGCAGTGGTCCCAGAAATTCTGCCTGATGCAAGATATGAAAAGAGCTGCAGACATGGAAACTTCTTAAAAACATGACAGCCCTTCAAGCCTTCAGGACTAGCAGCAGGAAGCAAAGAAAGTTTTAAGTATGACTCCAGACCTCCAGCTGGGAAGGGGACCGGCCTGTCTCGGCTAGTGGGGGTGATCTAGAGGCAGTGGTCCACCTTGAATCTTCTGGAGAATCTGTGATCCATTTGAGATTATCTTGATGGGGACCCAGAACTGGCCAGCTTCCAGTTCCAAGAACTGCAGATGGCTTCCTTCCAACCAGGAAATGAGCCCAGGCAAATGTCCTCCCTGAGTGGCGTTTGGATGGGAGTCATTTGCTGTTCCCCGTTTCTAGTTGCTCTCGAGGGGCGACAGCCGGCTCAGGAGCTGCACCCGGAGGCAGCCTAGTCTTGGTTTGCAGGTGGATCCCAACCCCTGCCCAGCCGCTGTTCCTTTAGCTTTCCCAGGGTCTGGAGGGCAGGCCAAATCGATGGGCCCATAAAGGCAGTTGACACTGCAGAAATGGGGGGGGGGGGTGTGACTGAAGACAACGTGGTTTTCCTCATTCATCTCTTTTCATGTAAAAATCCTTTGTACAAATTTTGGTCATCGTCTAAACTACGATTTCGCCCGGTATAGTTTTTTCAACGAAAGAGGGGTAAACTGAAAGAGGAAAATAAGTCGTCAAGGTTTAATGGATAAGAAATATCGACTTACAATACGTCCTCTAACAAGTCTATACGTGTTTAGCCACAGCTGTCAGTTTTCTTCTTTCTTCCTCAGCTATCAACATTATGCACACTGATAAATATTGCAAGAAGGCAACACTGAGGCAACTCTGTGTGTGATCTCATTCCGAGTGCGCTGGGAGGGAGGGAGGGATTTTAAAACTGCACAGAAAGAAAAAAACAACCCTTTATTTGACTCTAAGTGGCTGAACCTGGATATGTTTCCAAGACACTTAAGCAGCAGCCACTTTCCTCTCCACCCCTGCGCATCAGTAAGCAGGAGGACGTCCATGCAGCCTTCAAAATGGCCTCTTGCAGCATCAATGTGGATTTTTATGGGTGGGGGGAGGGGGCGCCTAATGATTTGAATGCTGAGGTGTTCCCTTTGCCTTCCACTGCTGGGATCAGATTTAGGCATTATTTCAATTAAGTCAGGATTGACCTGGAAATGGACACTTGTGGAACAACCCAGGTGCAGAACAGTAGGAAGGATCCATCTGGTCACTCCCAGAGGCTGCTCCTGAACGCATCCCCGGGAACTGGGGAGGCCAACGGGGCAGGCAAGGAAAAAGAGAGAGCAAGAGAGAGAGAGAGAGACAGAGACACAGAGAGGAAGAGAGGAGAGGGAGAGAGACAGAGAGCGAGAGAGAGAGAGGAGAGGAAGAGAGGAGAGACAGAGACAAAGACAGAGACAGAGAGAGGAAGAGAGGAAGAGAGGAGAGAGGAGAGACAGGAAGAGAGGAGGGGGGGGGGCAAATGAGGGCAAATATGATATTGTTGCCATTACGGAAACTTGGTGGGATGAAACCAACAAATGGAACACATGGCTAGAGAGATTCAAATTACTTAAAAGAAACAGACCAAATAAAAGAGGAGGTGGAGTTGCTCTCTATATAAGAATAACTATCTCTACAGAAATAGAGGACAACAATGATGAAAACTGTCCTGAATGCATTTGGGTCAATATAAAAGAGGGAAAAAATGACATTGCCATAGGTGTATACTATAAGCCAGGGGTCCCCAACCCCCGGTCTGTGGACCAGTACCAGGGCGTGGCATGCCAGGAACCGGTCCGCACAAACGAAAGCCCCATCCACAAGATGCAGGCAGCACACAAAACTACACCCCCTCCAGTCCACGGAGTAACCTCTCTCCACGGAACCGGTCCCTGGCACCCAAAAGGTTGGGGACCTCTGCTATAGCCCCCCCCAACCAAACAGAAGTAATAGGTGAACTTTTTGCTAGTCAGTTAACTAAGGTATGTAGGAAGCACATCACAATAGTAATGGGGGATTTTAATTACCCTGACATCAACTGGGAGACACTCTGCACCAAGTGGAAGATCAAACAGATTCCTCACAAACCTAACAGACAACTTTGTCTCCTAAAAAGTAGAGAAGGGAACTAGGGAATCAGCCATATTGCACTTAATTCTCACTAACAGAGATGAAATGATAGAAGGTGTTGAAACCAGAGGAACCTTGGGGGGGAGTGACCATGCAATATTGGAATTCAACATTATGGAAGCACAAGCAACAAAACACAGTCAAACTAGAGTCTTGGACTTTAAGAGAGCTAATTTCAACAAACTTAGAGAGAGCTTGGGAAGGATTCCATGGATGAGAATCCTCAAGGAGAAAACAACTCAAGAAGTTTAGGAAAATTTAAAAAGTGAAATTATAAAAGCCCAGTCCAGCACAATACCAACGAAGGAGAAAAATAACAGCTCTCAAAAGAAACCAGCATGGCTGTATAAAGAATTCTCTGATAAACTGAAAGACAAAAAGGACAAGTATAAAAAGTGGAAAGAGGGGAACATAACTAAGGCAGAATATCAGCAAATAGCCTGAGCCTGCAAAGATGAAGTGAAGAAAGCGAAGACTCAAAATGAACTAAGGCTTGTGACAAAAGTCAAAAATAACAAAAAAAGCTTCTTTCAACATGTAAAAAACAAGAAAAAAGTTAAAGAAATGATTGGTCCATTAGGGGGAGAAAGTGGCAAGAAGGTGACAAGCAACAGGGAGAAAGCAGAACTACTCAACTTGTTTTTTGCATCTGTATTTACACAAAGGGAAAAAACAGTCCAACCTATCAAAAACAGTACCGTAAAATACAGATTAGAAACACAAGTTAAGATAGGCAAGAAAATGATAAGTGAGCACTTGTCCACCCTAGATGAGTTCAAATCACCAGGACCAGATGGATTACACCCCAAGGTTGTGAAGGAACTGGCAGATGTGATCTCAGAACCACTGAACTATATTTTTCAAAGATCCTGGAGTACTGGGGAACTACCAGAGGACTGGTAAAGAGCTGAAGTAGTTCCCATCTTCAAAAAAGGGGAAAAAATGGACCCAGGAAATTACAGACCTATCAGCCTGACCTCAATACCTGGGAAGATCTTGGAAAAGATAATCAAGCAACGAATCAGTGAACACCTAGAGGCAAACCAAGTCATTACCAAAAGCCAACATGGGTTTGTCAAAAACAGATCATACTAGACAAATCTCATTGCATTCTTTGACCAGGTGACAAAATTAGTGGACTAGAGGAATGCTGTGGATATAATTTACTTGGACTTCAGTAAGGCATTTGATAAAGTAGACCACAACCTACTACTTGACAAGATAGAAAAATGTGGGTTATACAACATCACCACCAGATGGATTCGTAGCTGGCTGACCGGCCATACTCAGCATGTGGTCCTCAATGGAACTGCATCTAAATGGAGGGAAGTGTATAGTGGGGTGCCCCAGGGCTCTGTTCTGGGCCCAGTGCTCTTCCACATCTTCATTAATGATTTGGACGAGGGGATAGATGGGGAACTCATCAAATTTGCAGACGACACCAAGCTGGCAGGAATAGCCAACACTCCAGAAGACAGGCTTAGGATATAGGAGGATCTGGACAGACTTGAACACTGGGCGCTATCTAACAAAATGAAATTCAATGGTGAAAAAAGTAAGGTTCTACATTTAGGCAAGAAAAACCAAATGCACAGGTATAGTATAGATGGTACCTTGCTCAATAGTAGCAACTATGAGAGGGATCTTGGAGTCCTAGTGGACAGTCACTTAAATATGAGCCAGCAGTGTGCTCCAGCTTCCAAAAAAGCCAACACAATGCTAGGCTGCATTAACAGAGGGACAGAATCAGTATCACGTGAAGTATTAATACCACTTTACAATGCCTTGGTAAGGTCACACTTGGAATCCTGCATCCAGTTTTGGTCACGACGATGTAAAAAAGATGTTGAGACTCTAGAAAGAGTACAGAGAAGAGCAACAAAGATTATCAGGGGACTGAAGGCTAAAACATATAAGGAACGGTTGCTGGAATTGGGAATGTCTAGTTTAATGAAGAGAAGGATGAGAGGGGACATGAT